CCCATGCCTGCCTGATGGATGTCTTACTGCTCCCCTGCCAGCCTGTTTGTCCCCAACTTCCCTCTGCTGGCCTGGTCACCCCTAACTGTCCTCCCCTACAGGGTTGATCGCCCCCAACTGCCCTCCCCTGCTGGCCATCTTGTGGTGGCTATCCTGTGTCCACATGGGGGCAGGATCTTTGACCAAATGGGGGCAGCCATCTTGTGCATTGGAGTGATGGTCAATCTGCATATTACTCTTTTATTAGATAGGATAGAGGCCTGGCGCACAGGTGGGGGATGGATGGTTTGCCCTAAAAGATGTCCCAGATAAGGGTGGGGGTTCCTTTGGGGCGGGGGGTGGCCTGGGTGAGGGGTCTGTGGTGGTTTGCAGGCTGGCCACACCCCCGGCAGCCCAAGTGGAGGCCCTGGTATCTGGGGTTTATTTGTCTTCTACAATTGAAACTTTGTAGCCTGGAGCAGAGCCAAGCCTTCTGCTTGCTCCATGGCAGCAGCCATTTCTGTTGTGGTTTATCTTCTGTAGTTGAAACTTTGAAGCCTCAAGTGGAAATCTGGGCTGGCCAGGATGTGCAGAAAGCTTGGCTTCCTCCATTGCTGAAGGCAACCCTAGCCTCCCGCTCTTCCCAGCTCCGTGGCTGCTGTCATTCCTGTTTGGTTTTGTTTACCTTCTTTAATTGAAACTTTGTAGCCTTGAGGGGAGGCCTAGGCCAGCAAGGCAGGCGGAAAGCATGTCTCCCTCCATTGCCTGGGAAACCCAAGCCTCCTTCCTGCTCTCTGTGGCTGTAGCCATCTTGGTTGGGTTTATTTGCATATTTGCCCCTGATTGGCTGGTGGGCATGGCTTATGGGTATAGCGGAGTGATGATTAATTTGCATATTACTCTTTTATTAGATAGGATGAATCTCACACAAAACACAATAAAACTTAGCCCTCTTTATTTTAAATATTTTTTTTTCTGGTATTCCAATTATACATATGTTGTTTTTCCCTCCACTTTCCCCCCCTCTTTGTACTTCAGGTTGGGAAGTTTTTATCTTGAAGCTGTTCTTTTCTTGGCCATGGCTAAGAGCCTGTCAAAGGAATTCTTTATTTTTCATAGTATGATTGTTGTTTTATTTTTAGCCTATGGTTTATTTTTTAATTTGGTTATTTGTCTTTATTAAGTTGTAAGAATTATTTATATTGTCTCGATATTAGACCCATATCAGGCCTTTATATGATTTACAAATGTTTTCTCCCGTTCTGTGGATTGTCTTTTCACTTTCTTAGTAGTGTCCTTTAAAGCACAAACATTTTTAATATTAAAAAAAGTTCATTTTATTTTTTTCCAAAGGCTGCATATGTTTCAGGTGTCATATCTATGATATTATTGCTTAATCTCAGGTCATGAAATGTATGCCTGTTTTATTCATGCAGTTTAACCCTTAGATTTAGGTCCTTGATTTTGAATTCATTTTTTAATATGATGTGAAAAATTATCTTGATACTATTAAGTGGTGATAAATCAGGTAGCCATAAATGTTGTGTTTATTTTATTTACTTTTTAAATATATTTTTTATTGATTTTTTTACAGAGAGGAAGAGAGAGGGATAGAGACTTGGAAACATCGATGAGAAACATCGATCAGCTGCCTCCTGCACACCCCCTACTGGGGATGTACCCACAACCAATGTACATGCCCTTGATCGGAACTGAACCTGGGACCTTTCAATCCGCAGGCCGATGCTCTCTCAATTGAGCCAAACTGGTTTTGGCGAAGTGTTTATTTTTAGAGTCTCAGTCTTATTACATTGATCTAAATGTCTACCTTGGGCCAGTCACGGTCTTATTATAGAGTTGTGATAAATTTAGAAATTGGGTGTGTGATTTTTTTTTTTCCAACTTCATTCTTCTTTTTCAAGATTATTTTGGTTATTTTGAATCCCTTACATTTCCATATAAATTTTAGGATTAGTTTGTCAATTTCTGCTGTGGAGCCAACTTGGATTTTGATAGGAACTACATTGAATCACTATGGGAAGTATTGCATGTTAGCAATATTAAATCTTCTAATCCATGAACATTGATGTCTTTCCATTTATTTAGATATTTTTAAATTTCTGATGTCTTATTATTTCATTGTATAAGGCTTATATTCCTTTTGTTAAAATTACTCCTTAGTATTTTGTTCTGTTTGATGGATGCTTTTATAAATGGAATTGTTTTCTTAATTTTATTTCTGGGTTGTTCATTACAAGTATATAGAAATTCATCTGATTTTTATATATTGATTTTGCACCTTGCAATCTTGCTGAACTTATTAGCTTTAATAGTTTGTGTGTGTTCCTTAATATACAGGATGGGACGAAAGTAGATTTACAGTAGATTTGTGTGTACACGAAACACAAGAGTATATTTTGGTATTATTATTTAACTAGTAGTCTTGTGCGCAGATCTTTGTGCCAGTAGCTTTCTGCGGCCCTCCTATAGCTCTCTGCCTGCTGCCTGCCCTCCTGTAGTCACCCCCGCACCCTCTCCCTGGCCCCTGTCCCTTCTCCCCTTCATAGCTTGCTGCCCTGCCTCTTCCTATAACTTTTTGCTGCCCACTTGTTGTTCACTGCCCCACCCTTCTGCAGATTCATGATCTGGTCGTTACATGGTTAGTCGTTATGCCTCAAGGAGTAAGGGAAAATTAGCATATTCCTCTCTTATTATATAGGATTATTGTATTTTCCATATGAACAACTATAATCCTACTTTTATCCCACTCTGTATTTTATATACAATATTATGTCATCTGAAAACATAGTTTTGCTTTTTTTCCCTTTGCAATCTGGATGCTTTTATTTCTTTTTCTTGTCTAATTGCTCTGACTAGAATTTTTATTACAGTGTTAAATAGATGTGGTGAAAGTTAGCATCCTTGACTTTTTCCTGATCTTAGTGGGAAAACATTCAGGCTTTTACCATTAATTATGATAATATTCTCATAAGAGATATTTATATTGGCCTATAGTTTTTGTGTGATGTCCTTCTTTGTCTGATTTTTGGTGTCTGAGTAATACTGGCCTCATAGAATGAGTTGGGAGGTATTCCTTTCTATTTAATACAAGCATCTCAATTTGAGCTTTTCTTTCTTTTTTTATTAAATTGCTAACTTGATCTCTTGTAGAGTCATCAGATGTTCTTTGTCTGTTTTTCTTGAGTCAGTTTCTTTTGTTTGCATCTTTCTAAGAACTTGTTTATTTCACAGAAGTTTTATAATTTGTTGGCATATAATTGTTCCTGGTATTCACTTATTAGTATAAACTTCATTTGGATAAGTTTGCTAGTAATATTTAATCTTTCATTCCTGAATTTAGTAATTTGAGTCTGTGTAAGTTAGTCAGTGTAAGTAAAGTTTTCACATTTTTTCGAAGAAGCAGCTTTTGATTTTGTTGATTTTTCTCTATTATTTTTCTGTTCTCTATCATTTAATTTACAATAATATTTTTTTTTTATATCCTTTTGCTTGGTTTGTGTTTGGTTCACTCCTTTTCTTTTTTTACTTTCTTTTGGTGGAAGTTTGAATAAGTGATTTGAGATCACCTCTTTTAAAAATATAAATGTTTACAGCTATAAACTTGTAAATACTGTTTTTGCTAAGTTTCTTAAAGTCATAGTGTGTGTTTTTTGTTTTCTTTTCAAGGAAAGGAAAGGTGGTTTTCCCATTGTTTTTGGATTTGCATTGATTTGAGCTTTAGAATGATATTAAATTCCTAATATTCTATCATTTTTTCCCCTACAAAATGGTAATTTCCTATGGTTTATCCTAATACAAGTTACTCTCACAAACATTACCTCCCACTACCCCAGTATTATCTTATTTTTACAGTTAAAACATGCTCAGGAAGGATAATGGTACTTGTCTAGGTATTAGGACCACCATGTATCAGGATAGAGTTGTGACTAAGACATTATTGAAGACTTGCATGTCCTATAATAACAGTTACCAAGAGCTTTTACCTGATTGAGGGACAGGTGCACATGAAAATAATTCACATCTGGCCCCTGACAGTGGTTTGTCCCACTAGTGTTGGTGGAGATGTGCCATAATTGGTTAATGTACATATCATTAAACTAGTGCCTGGCGTTCTTTGAGAGAGAAGGTATGCACGACAAACAGCAGCTTGATCCCTGCTCCGAAGGAGCTTGTAATTTACAGGAGAACACGTGAGCTATTAATTACGATGCAGGAGGATAAATGTTCGACAGGCGCCCAGCGGAGGGCACCTGCTCTTTCAGAAGAGAGGCGAAGGCCAATCAGGGAAATTCTCTGGCTGTTTGGTTTGCATTTTGAAGATGGAGAAGAAGCTTCCAGGTAGAAAAGACAAGGATTGGACAGTTCAGGGGAAGAACCTGTGCAGAGGGGCAAAGAGAAAGAACGTGTGTACTTGGACTCTAGAGTGTGCATTGGGAAGGAGAGGCTAGAAAGGAAAGTCGGTGGTAGAATATGAAGGGTGTTCTATCACAAGGCAGGAGTTAACTTTTAACTTATAGGCTACTGAGGAGCTTTTGAAGGTTTCTAGAAAGAGGTCTTTGAATTATATGTCCGTGTGTGTGTGTGTGTGTGTGTGTGTGTGTGTGTGTGGCGGGGGCATGTTGGAGAGACAGTTGCTCTTCTTTGCCCTGTATGCTAATGAGGTTGTCCCTTAGTATCTACTATCGGGGATTGGTTCCAGGATCTCTGCAGATAACAAGCAGATTCTCAAGTCCCTTTTATAAAATGTCAGAGGAGCAGTGCATAAAGTACCCCCTCCACATCTGTGGACTCCCAGCCACAGTTTGAAAATACGATACTATTTTCAATCCCAGGATGGTTGAATCTGGATGCAAAACCTGGGTATATAGAGGGCCAACTGTATATTTATTGAAAAAATTCACATATAGGTGGGCCCACATAGTCCAGACTCATGTTGTTTAAGGTCAGCTGTAGTTCTTTCCTCACCAGTAAAATGTTTCTCTTTTTTTTTTTACTCACAGTTCACTGAGACGTTTTTGACCGAGAGGGACAAACAGTCCAAATGGAGTGGGATTCCTCAGCTGCTCCTTAAGCTGTATGCAACCAGCCACCTCCACAGTGACTTCGTTGAGTGTCAAAACATCCTCAAGGTAATTCTTTTGGGCCTTGAAGGGGCTGCATTCAGGGCATCCAAGTGACACAAGATGTCTGCTTTAAAAAAAAAAACCTCTCATAAAAAAAATAAATTAAAAAATAAAATAAAATAAAAATAAATTTTTAAAAAAAACCTCAGTCTACTTTTAAAATTTTTCTGTTTTTATTATGTAAGCTGTAGAAAATTTGGGAAGTTCAGAAAAAGTGCAAAGAAGAAAATAAAACCCCCAACACCAGAGGATAATCACCAGTGAGTTCCCTTGCTTACTTTGGGAGGTCAACACTGTGCCCTGGGATCGAGATGGCATTCTTTTTGAATAGGGTTTAAAAGATCACACGTTTCATGGAAGTAGCCTTGTGGTTATTGACAATTATCCTAAATAATAAAAGCCTAATATGCTAAGTGTCTGGTTGTCCAGTCATTTGTTTAACCAATTAAAGCATAATATGCTAATGATATGCTAAGGATGTTCAATCGCTCGCTACGATGTGCACTAACCACCAGGAGGCAGACAGTCGACCCATCAACCAGTCACTATGACATGCACTGACCACCAGAGGGCAGATGCTCTGACCAATAGGTTAGTTTGCTGCTGGGGTCTGGCCTATTGGGGCTGAGCAAGACGGGCTGGACACTGAGCCAAACCGGCTTCGGCAGTAATTATAGTCTTTTACACTTGTTTAAAAACACTTTATAAAGAGTTATATATTAATTTCACTTGATTCCTGCAAAATTTGAAATATGAAGGAGGAGGAAAAAGAAGTAGAATGAGGGAAATTAATAATGAGTGCTTGCTGTATGATCATCATTTCTTTATTCACCCAGCAAATGCTTGTTTGAAATTTCCTGTGTACCAAGGCAAATTTAATTTTTATGGCAACTTTATGAGAAGGGTTGTGGTTTCTTTGTATTAGTCTAGAATATTTTGATTGCAGGTGACAGTAACTCACTCAGACTAGGAAAGAAAAAAAGATCCTTTATTGTAGGGGTGTCGAACTCAATCAGAGAAGGGGCCAAAATCTAAAATCCAGCCTAAATCGCGGGCCGAATGGTTTACTGAACAGTCATAAACTGTCATTGTGATGGAAACGCAGCGGAGTGCAGTGATGACAGCGCGGTGCGGGCCACATTGCAAGGCCTGGCGGGACGGATTTGGCCCGCGGGCCTTGTGTTTGACACATGTGCTTTATTGTCTTACATAATTGACAAGCACAGGTGTGAATTCAGGAGCTGAACAGTTAGGCTGTCCATTTCTTTTTTTATGATTATTTTTTTAAATATTACGTATGTCCCTCTTTTTCCCCCATTGACCCCCTCCATACTACCCTCACCCCCCACCTCAGAGCCTCACCCCCCTCATTGTGTCCATGGAGGCTGTACATTTCTTGTCTTGACATCTGTGTGTGACCTCAAGTTCTTCCATGTAATCATAGGTCTTGGGTGACATTTCTATAACATGTGTTAGCCACTCAGGTGAGGGGAATGAGATTATTTGGCGAGGGGCTGGGACTGAGTTGCTTGTTGACAACCTTAGCAGAACTATGTGGAAAGTGGGGAGGGGCGTTTCCTCTAAGGAAATGCAGTTGTTACCCGAAGAAGAGAGAAAGCTGCTGGATAGACAAAATCCAGCTGTTTTTTATATTCTCTTTTTCAATTGAGAAAAAAAACAAGACTCGACAATAACCTGCCCAAAAGCTGTGGCTACTATATGTTGAGCCCAGATTTGTCTTATCCAAAGACCAGCTTCCACTGTACTAGGTTGCCAGCAGGAAGTATAATACTTCCTGGTTTTATGGATGAAAAAAATAAGATCCAGAAAAAGTGGTTCAGTCACTTACTAATTATGTGACCCTAGGCAACTTTGTGATACTATTTTTTTTTACATATAAAATGAGTAAAAGTATGCTTATTGAATTATTTTAAGGGTTAAATGAACTAACATGTAAAAGCGCAGTGCCTGGCGTATAACAGTGATCCTAAGAGTTCTGCTTTTTCTTGATGTGTGGTGTTTGGACCAGCAGCATCAGCATCTTGGGAACTTGTTATAAATGCACATTCTCAGGCCCCCCTCAGACCCATTACAAGTCTGCAGGTGGGACCAGTAGTCTGAATTTTAAGAAGCCCCTCTGATGATTCCGGTGCTCACCAGTGTTTGAGCACACAGTGTTTGCTCTTGCCTATTGTGTTCCATTTTCCCTCACAGGTTCCTGCAGGGAGAATATGAGTAGGGTCCTGGATTCTTCCTACTCTTTCACCCAAAATAGTTATGCTTTACAAGCACAGACTCTGGAACCAGATTTCCTACACTGAAACCTGGCTCTACCACTGTGTGACACTGACAACTTCTTCATGCCTTAGCTTCCTTACCTGTAAAATTTTGGGATAAGTTACTATTATCTTACATAGGGTTGTGAGGATTAAAAGAGGTAATGCATGAAGGGCTTAGACTTAAGCACTAAATTAATTAGCTATTACTACTACTATTACAACTTTCGTTATATCAACTTTTCTGCAAGATTATTAATTTTTTTCTATTACCTCTCTTCCATATGAACAAAGGATTCTTTGGCCCTTCCAAATTTGAGAACCTCTACACTGTATTGACTGTATTGAATACCTGCTAGGGAGAATACAAAGAGGAATCTGTTTGTCTTATCTTCGAGGAGTATTTAATCTAGGGAAGGGTGACATATGTTTGTAAAGAGGTATGAAGTAAAAGTGCTCAGTGCCGCAATAAATCACAGATTTCTTTGGGGCTTCAGAGATGCATCAGAATGCTCCTGCTGAAGGGAGTCAGAAGACTTCCTGGAAGAGGTGACACTTAGCAATGTTTTGGTTATATATTGCTGCAGAACCAGCTACCCTAAAACTTAGTAGCTTGAGATAATAGTCACTATATATCTGTAACAATTTTTTTGGGTAAGGAAACTTACCCAAGAAAGATTTATTCAAATACATATAATTTTTACTTGTTTGGAGGTGTTGATATAAGTAGTTATTATTTCTACTACTATTACTACTGCATAATGGTTTGGTTGACTGGTTCTTTTGCTTCAAGTGGTGTTGGGTTGGGTGTTGAATCATCTGAAAGGTTCAGAGTGGCTTCACTCACATAGCTGGTAGTTTGGTGCTGTCAGTTGGAGATCAGCTAAGGATATCAGTCCTTAGCTTCAGTTCTCTCCTCACGGCCTCTGTAGGTGCTTATGTTAGACTTCTCACAGCATGATGATTGGGTTCCAAGATAGCAAAAGCCAACTTTGTCAGCCTTTCTTAATAATTAGGTCAGAATTGCCTAGTGTCACTTCTGCCACATTCTGTTTGTTGAAGGAGTCATACCAGCCCAGATTCAGTGTGGGAGAGGATTCTGCAGGGGGTCTGAATATGAGGAAGTGTGGTTCATTGGGGCTATCTCATGGGGATTTACGTTGGGATTAAAATGCAGACTGATGCTTTGGTGTCTGATTGTCTCTGCATGCTTTCTTTAAACCAGGACATTTCTCCTCTCCTCTCCATGGAGGCTATGGCGTTCGTTACTGAAGAGAGGAAACTAACCCAAGAAACCACTTACCCAAATACATATATTTTTGACTTGTTTGGAGGTGTTGATGTAAGTAGTCATTTATTATTTCTACTACGATTACTACTGTGTAATGGTTTGAGAAGTTAACTCTTAAAATGAAGTCAGGAAACATTTCAGAATATATAGCAATCATTTGAGAATTTTAATCTTTAAAAGCTCATTAGCACTCACCTGATTGGAAGCAGCATAGCTTTTATTTTAGAATAATCTATTTGAATTGATAATGTAGCCACCTTGTTTTTTTGAAAGCACTAAGTTAAAGTGTACTTCCCCATTCCCCAGTATCCTCTCTTCAGAGGCAGCTCTGATTCCCAGTGTCTTCTCTGTCCTTCCAGAGATGTTTTGTGTGTGTGTGTAAATAGCCCCCTTTCCCCCACCTTGTTTATTTTCTCCCCATGCACAGGTGACATGTGATATATACAGGTGTTTGCTTTGTATCTTGCTTTTTCCATGTCATTCTTGAGGTAGGGGATAGTTTCATTTGAGTCCATGTAAACCTGCCTCATTATTTTAAACAGCTCTGTAGTATTCCCTGGTGTAATTGTACCATAATTTATTTATCAAGGCCTCAATTGATAGGCATTTAGAGTTTTCTCACACCTTTCCTATTACAAATAAGATTGAAATAAAGGTTTTTCTACATACTTCTGTGTACATGTGAATATATACCTTTGGGATCAAAGCATCTGTGTCTTTTATTTTTATTTTTGAATAAATCTTTATTCAGGTTATTACAGTTGTTCCTCTTTTTTCTCCCCTCCCCCCGGTTGCCACCTCACCCCATGCCCTTACCCCCCCCCCCCCACTGTCCTTGTCCATAGGTGTAAGATTTTTGTCCAGTCTCTTTTCTCATACCCCACACATCATTCCCCCCGAGAACTGTCAGTCTACTCCCTTTCTATGTCCCTGATTCTATTATATTCACCAGTTTATTCTGTTCATCAAGTTTTTTTATTCACTTGATTTTTAGATTCACTTGTTGTCACTTTGTATCTATCCGGGGTCTTTTTTTATTCCAGATGGATTTTTGGAGAGTTCTTTCTAGCTCTGTGAAATATGCCATTGGTATTTTAATGAGGAGTGCATTGAATGTATAGATTGCTTTGGGTAGTATGGACATTTTAATGATGTTGATTCTACCAATTCCATCTGTTTACATCTTCCTCTATCTCTTTTTTTAGTGTCCTGTAGTTCTCCATGTATAGGTCTTTTACCTCCTTAGTTACCGTATTTTTCGGACCATAAGACGCTCCGGACCATAAGACGCACCAGTTTTTAGAGAAGGGAAATGAAGAAAAAAAGATTCTGAAACAAATAGTGTCCTAAAATATTTTATGTGCATTAAAACCCAACATCACAGTCATAAACACATGTAATCAACCCTGTAAAGTAAACAGCAGCATTTAGAACCATTTTAGAGCCGGGCAAGCACACAGAGACCACACAGAGCCGGGCAAGTAAAAACACTTTTTTTTTAAAGTATATGTGTAGGCTATATTTGGACCATAAGACACAGGGACTTTCCCCCCCACTTCTGGGGGGAAAAAAGTGCGTCTTATGGTCCGAAAAATACGGTAGTTTATTCCTAGGAATCTTAATTTTTTTGGTGCAGTGTTAAATGAGATTGCTTTTTAGTCTTTCTTTCTGTAAGTTCACTATTGGTGTATAGAAATGCCATAGATTTCTTGGCATTAATTTTTTTTATCCTGCTACATTGCCGAATTCATTTATTAAATCTAATTTTTGATGGAGTCTTTAGGGTTTTTATGTACAATATCATGTCATCTGCAGATAAGGACAATTTTACTTCTTTTCCAATTTGGATGCCTTTTATTTCTTCTTCTTGTCTAATCTCAATGGCTAATACTTCCAGTACTCTGTAGAACAGGAGTGGTGAGAATGGGCATCCCTGTCTTGTTCCTGTTCTTAGGGGAAATGGTTTTAGTTTTTGCCCATTGAGAGTGATGTTGACTGTGGGTTTGTCATATATTGCTTTTATTATGTTGAGGCATGATCCTTCTATTCCCACCTTGTTAAGAGCTTTTATAAAGAAAGGATGTTGGATTTTGTCAAATGCTTTTTCTGCATCAATTGATATGACTATGTGGTTTTTATCTCATATAAAAATTTGTTTATATGATGTATCACGTTTATTGATTGCAGATATTGTACCATCCTTGCATCCCCGGGATAAATCCTACTTGGTCATGGTTTATGATCTTTCTGATGTACTGCTGGATTCGATTTGCTAGAATTTTGTTGAGGATTTTGGCATCTATGTTCATAAGGGATATTGGCCTATAATTCTCTTTCATTGAGTTGTCTTTATCTGGTTTTGGTATTAGGATGATGCTGGCTTTATAGAAGGAGTTTGGAAGTGTTCCTTCCTCTTGAATTTTTTTGGGATTATCTGAGGAGGATAGGTTTTAGTTCTTCCTTGAATGTTTGGTAAAACTCCCATGTGAAGCTGTCTGGCCCCCGGCTATTGTTTGCTGGAAGTTTTTTGATGACTGCTTCAATTTCTTCCATAGTTATTGGCCTATTGAGATGTTTAGATTCTTAAATATATTTTATTGATTTTTTACAGAGAGGAAGAGAGAGGGATAGAGAGTTAGAGACATCGATGAGAGAGAGTCATCGATCAGCTGCCTCTTGCACACCCCCTACTGGGGATGTGTCCGCAACCAAGGTACATGCCCTGACCGGAATGGAACCCGGGTCCACAGGCCAACTCTCTATCCACTGAGCCAAACCGGTTTTGGCAAGATGTTTAGATTCTTCCTGATTGAGTTTTGGAAAGTTATATTTTTCTAGGAATATGTCCATTTCCTCCAGGTTGTCCAGTTTGTTGAAATAGTTGTTCATAGTATTTTTTAACAGTCCTTTGTATTTCTGTGGGGGTCTGTTGTTGTTTCTACTCTTTTATTTCTGATTTTGTTTATTTGGGTCCTCTCTCTTTGCTTCTTGGTGAGCCTGGCTAGAGGTTTATCCTTTCAAAGAACCAGCTCTTTGTTTTGTTGATCTTTTGTATTGTTGTTTTTTTTTTGTTTTTTTTTTTTTTTTGTGTGTGTGTGTGTGTGTGTGTGTGTGTGTGTGTGTGTGTGTTTTAGTCTCTGTCGTTTATCTTTGCTCTGATCTTTATTATTTCCTTCCTTCTGCTTACACTGGGCTTTTCTTATTAATCTCTTTCTAACTCTTTTAGTTGTAGGGTTAGGTAATTTATTACCATGTTTCTTGTCTTTTTTTTTTTTTTTTTTTTTTTTTTTTTTTTTTTTTTTTTTTTCAGTAGGCTTGTAGAGTTGTGAACTTCCCTCTCAAGACTGCTTTCACTGTGTCCTATAGATTTTGGATTTTTGTGTTTTCATTTTCATTTGTTACCATGATGTTTTTTTTTCTTCTTTGATCTCTCTGGTAACCCAGTCTTTGTTTAATAGCATGTTATTTAGTCTCCATGTGTTTGATTTTTTTGGATTGTTTTTATTGTAGTTGATTTCCAGTTTTATGCCATTTTGATATGAGAAGATGCTTGATATGATTTCTATCTTCTTGAGTTTTAGGAGACTTTGCCTGTGACTCACTATATGGTCTATCTTTGAAAATGACCCATGTGCACTTGAGAAGAATATATATATTCTGTGGCTTTGGGCTGAAATGTTCTGAAGATGTCAGTTAATTCCATCTGATCTAGTGAATCATTTAGGATTGATATTTCTTTGCTGATTTTTTTTGTTTAGAGGATTTGTCCAGTGGTGATAGTGGGGTATTAAAGTCCCCTAAGTAAGTTTTTTCAATTTGTGTGAGTTTTTTCTTCCCTATATCAGGGAAGTTTTCTGCCATTATTTCTTCAAACAGGTTTTCTATTCCTAGTTCAGTTTCCACTCCTTCTGGCATCCTTATTATGCGGATATTGTTTCGTTTTATGTTGTCCCAAAGTTCCCTTAGGCTCTCCTCCTGATTTTTTAATTTTTTTTTTTTTTTTTTCTAGATGCTGCTCTTCTTGGGTATTTTTTCCTACGTTGTCTTTTAGCTCACTGATGTGGTCCTCTGCTTCTTATAGTCTACTGTTAATGCTTTCTATTGAGTTCTTTATAGCAGCAATGTCATTTTTCATTTCTTCTTGGATCTTCTTCATTTCCTCTTGGTTCTTACACATATTATTGAATTTGTCTTCCATTCTTTTCAGCAACCTTATGACCATTTCTCTGAATTCTTTCTCTGACAGGTTGCTTGCCTCCATTTTATTTACCGTATTTTTCGGACCATAAGACGCACTTTTTTCCCCCCAGAAGTGGGGGGAAAAAGTCCCTGCGTCTTATGGTCCAAATATAGCCTACACATATACTTTTTAAAAAAAGTTTTTTTTCTTGCCCGGCTCTGTGTGGTCTCTGTGTGCTTGCCTGGCTCTAAAATGGTTCTAAATGCTGCTGTTTACTTTACAGGGTTGATTACATGTGTTTATGACTGTGATGTTGGGTTTTAATGCACATAAAATATTTTAGGACACTATTTGTTTCAGAATCTTTTTTTCTTCATTTCCCTTCTCTAAAAACTGGTGCGTCTTATGGTCCGGAGCGTCTTATGGTCCGAAAAATACGGTACTTTTCTGGTGATGCCTCCTTTTCTTTTATATGTGGGATGTTTCTTTATCTCCTCATGACCTCTCTTCTCTGGGTGTCTGGTTATGTAGTTCTCTCTGTCCTTTCCCTAGGCATAATCTGACCTTTCCTTGAGAAGGTGCAGAGCTCCTCTGAGTCACAGTATTCGCACTGCCTGAGACCTGGTGTTCCTGGGTTCACAGTTGGTCCCTGGGTGTTCTGTTCATAGTGTCATAAGATCTATAGTCTTCCTATAACAGCCACTCTCCCCTTCCAGATGGTGCAGTCTCTGCAGTAGAGTCATCGCACCGGGAGAGATTTCAGCAGCAGTGTAGGTTGCCTGGTCAGGGGAGCCCGGATCGGCAATCCCCAATAGTCCCTTGGAGTGTAGCTGACCCTCACCCACAAATATCCACTCCCCATATGTCCACACACTCTCCTTTAGTTCTCTCACTCACACACTATCTTGCAGTCTGCTTCCCTGTCAGCAGCCATTTCCCTTTCCCTGGCTTTTATATATATATATATGTATGTATATTATTATTATTATTGATTTTTTTACAGAGAGGAAGGGAGAGGGATAGAGAGCTAGAAACATTGATGAGAGAGACCCATCAACCAGCTGTGTCCTGCACACCCCCCACCGGGGATGTGCCCACAACCAATGTACATGCCTTTGACCGGAATCGAACCTGGGACCTTTCAGTTCGCAGGCCGACACTCTATCCACTGAGCCAAACCGGTTTCGGCTACCTAGCTTTTTCTCTGTTTCCTCATATGGGAAGTGGTTAGGGATCTCTCTGAAGCCTCTTTTATAAGGTATAATCTCATTCATGAGGTCTCTGGGCTCATGACCTAATCACCCCCAAAGGCCCCACCGCCTAATGCCATCACATTTTGGATTTAACATGAATTTTGGGTGGTTAAACACATTCAGATAGTATCAATTTGTAGCTACTCCTAATTTCTTAAGGTCCATTGACTTATGTGTTGTCTTCTTTTTCCTAGTTAGAGAATTAAATTTTGACTTTGTGGTACTTTAAAATGACAAAAGCTTTTTCTGGCAGTCGTGACTCGGTGGTTAGAGTGTTGGCCTGTGCACAGAAAAGTGTCAGGTTCAATTTCTGGCCAAGGGTACATACCTGGGTTGCAGGTTCATCCCTGGCCCCCAGTTGGGGCACATGTGAGAGGTAACCACTCAGTGTGTCTCTCACATTGATATTTCTCTCTCACCCTCCCTCCCTTCCACTCTCTAAAAATCAGTGGAGCCCTAGCCAGTTTGGCTGAGTGGATAGAGCATTGGCGTGTGGACCAAAGGGTCCCAGGTTTGATTTCAGGTTAAGGGCACATACATATCTTGGTTGCAGGCTCCTTCTCCACCCGGGCCCTGATCAGGGCTTGTGCAGGAGGGAACCAATCTTATGTCTTTCTATAATAACAATGTTTCTCTCTGTCTTTCCCTCTCTCTACCACTCTCCATAAAAATCAATGGAAAAATATCCTTGGGTGAGGATTAACAAAGAAAATAGAACATAAAATAAATAAATCGGTGGAAAAAGTATCGTCAGGTGAGGATTAATAATGATAACAAAAAAGTAGAAAGGTTTATTTTTAGTTATGGCTTCAGAATTTTATTTCTTGCTTTTGTCACTGTTTCCTTCTAATATTTTAAAGTTTTTATCACACATGTTTAAATTTTTTGCGCCATTCTAAATTTATTTTGCTGCATTGAGTGAGGGACTGGGATCCTACTTTTCCTCCTAGATATCTGTCCGTACATCCATCACTTGAATGGAGCATGAGGGAGGCTTTCATGTGGTTACTCTGTGTCTTGATCTGGGTTTTGATGGTATAGGAATGATATTCACTTGGTGAAAACTGGGGCTGTACCCTTAATATTTCTACTCTTTGCTGTAACATATTATACTTCAATTTTTATTTATTTATTTATTTATTTATTTTTTATATATATTTTATTGATTTTGTACAGAGAGGAAGAGAGAGAGAGATAGAGAGTCAGAAACATTGATGAGAGAGAGTCATCGATCAGCTGCCTCTTGCACACCCCCTACTGGGGATATGCCCGCAACCAAGGTACATGCCCTTGACCGGAATCGAACCCGGGACCCTTCAATCCCGAAGCCAACGCTCTATCCATTGAGCCAAACCGGTCTTGGCTATACTTCAATTTTTAAAAAGTTTGATTTTGATTTATTTCATTTATCTTTTTAATTTAAATTCTTCTTCCCCCCCAAAAAAAGCTTTCTTCCCTTAGAAATTTCATTTTCTACAAAAGTAAAGATTAAACGTTATATACATCATTTACCATAAACTTTACTCTTTAATTTCTGCTCAGCAGTCACTTTTCAGCAGTCCCATTGAGTCTATACTATTTACTTACTAATCAGCTGAAGGGACCCCCCCCCCCCTTCACTTTTGAATCATTCATCAAGGATTTTACTTAATGGACACCAATGTGTTTATGAAAGGAAAAAGAATAATGTGTCTCTAGCCTCATGGCTATTTTTAGTGAAAATGTGTCTTTCTGTAGCAGATATCAGTCTCACCTTAGGACATCTTTGGATCAATGGTTCTTGATTTTATGGGTTTTTCCTCGTCTGCATACTCCAGGAATCTCAGTTCATTCATAAATATGTGCTTTTCTGGGTCATTTTGCCCATTCACTGACCTTTAGTTGAGTGGTTTTTTCTTGCCAAACCCCCTGTTATTGATTTATTGTGTTTAAGTCTTCTATTCTTTGTCTCAACAGAATGGGTTGTTTTTTGTTTTTTAAATATATTTTATTGACTTTACACAGAGAGGAATTGAGAGGGATAGAGTTAGAAACGTCAATGAGAGAGAAACATCGACCAGCTGCCTCTTGCACACCCCCCACTAGGGATGTGCCTGCAACCAAGGTACGTGCCCTTGACCGGAATCGAACCCAGGACCTTTCAGTCCGCAAGCCAACGCTCTATCCACTGAGCCAAACCAGTTTCGGCCAGAATGGGTTTTTTAATGCACGCCTTTGCAAATAGTTTAAGCAAAATTATGTGTAGTATTTAAAGTATGTAAAATGAAAAATGAACTCATATCATTCCTACCCCCTGTAGAAATAGTACTTACAGTTTATGGTGCATCCTTGAGATTATTTTTATGTTTATAAGAGAAAACAAATATTCTTTAAGCAAAAGCAGAATTGAGGTGATAACCTGTAGCTTTTTAAAAATTAAAGCCGCATTGGATCTTATAGATTACCTAATCTAATATGCCTAGTCTTTTTTTAAATGAGAAAACAGAGTCTATGTCAGGGCATCAACCTGCCCACGTTTACATGGGGAATAGGTGGTTAAGCTGGGACTAAAACCCAAGCTTTCATTTCAGACTCCTGGGGTAGAGCTCATTTTCCTGAACCTCCCTGCCATTTGCCTATGTTGGGAATAAGGGGCTCTTGTAATACTGTTATAGATATTATATTTGGGCCATGAGTTAGCAGAGCAAAGATTGTTTTATAAGTTGTGCTTTGCATTAATTTTGAATATTTTACCTAAAAATATTATTTTACAGCTCCTTGTAGAAATTCTTATGAGGCCTACAGTCTCTCTCCGGGGACAGAAACTGAAAAGTAAGTATGTTTGTCATACACTTCCCTTTTTCCAACCTGCCGATAGGACGGTGGTTTCCAGGAGTGTCTCTTCTTCTCTTTCTAACTCTTACTGGTGAGGACCTGCCTTAGATCCAACTGCAGGTACTCTCTCCAGTCCTAACTAAGCAGCTGTATTCATTCATTTTATACTAGGTAGAAATACAGTCTGGTGCTTTAGAAGAAAAAGTGTGAAAACCATTGACTAAAAGAATCACATCTAATAGTCCTTGGGTCCAGTTTTTATGTTCTATTTGCTATTCTTACTTCTCATATACAGTAAGATGTGTGTGTTTTGTTTTAAACTATTTTGTTGTTGTTATAAAGGTGATATATGCTCTGTGTAAAAAGTTCAGTCATTACCAGAGTGCATATAGTAAAGAGTAAAAATGTTTCTGGTGGTGCATTATTTCTTAAATTCAGTAGTGGATATATGGATATTATTCTGATTCTTCCTCATAATTTATGCATATTACAAATATTCTTTTGGGGTATTCAATATTTAATTTATAAAATGAATGAGTGTACTTTGCTTGGCATTAAAAGACAGAGATCACTTAATATTTCATGAATCCTCTTTCAGAAACATCACTTTTTTTTTTTTTAATTAAAAAGTTTTTCCTCCCTAACATCAACTATGTAAGACCTCATTGGTAGGTATAGTGATGGTTAAGAGGATTCATATTCATCTTTGAATATCCATATTCAGATTTCCTTTCTATCTAAATTGGTTCTTCTGTTCTCTCTATACTGGTCGGGGTATTCCAACCTGCTTTAAAGTCATAAAATAAAAAAGCCAACAAGCCTCAGTAGGTTGAAAGGTAGTGAGTAATAAGGGATATAGGACACTTGCATTATCTCAGGATTATATCAGATAACCCACCTGGTCCAGGTAACTTGGCAGGACTGCCTATTGGGATCTCAGAAGGAGGCCCAGCATTTTTAGAGTTATTGTAGCAGCGTAAGATTAAGTGGGAATCGTTTTTGAAAATAAAAATATGCCAAACAAAACACTTTGTCCATGATTCATATTCAGTTTTATCACCTCCTGGTTTGGTGGTCATGAAAATTTAGTTTTCCTTTTTGTGTTACTTTTTGTTTCTGCTGACAGAGGAGTAGCTAGTTCTTTATTAGGCTTGGTAAGTCAGGCATTAAAAAGCCATTTCTCTAATATAAATAACCAGATTTATAATAAGAGACATCTGTATACTTTGGACTCTAGTAGTTCAGGTTTTGGAAATGTTTTTTGAGGAACCAGTTCAACACAAGCATCAAAAAAAGTTTAAATTGTTGTGGGTATTTTTTTGTCTATTTAAATAGCAAAAAAAAAAAAAAAAAAAAAAAAAAAAAAAAAACCACCACAAAACTAAAACCAAAACCTTGGATATATTCTAAGCATGCTACAAAGTGAATATGACTTATTTTTAATAATGATATCACCAAAGACTGAAATTATGAAGACTGTGGAGCATAATGAAAATGGCTACTACATCAAACCAAAAGCAGTCTACAGATGATTTGTGGGTTCTGATGGGCACCATGAAAATCTTTGGTAAATAAAAACTGGAGGGAGATATGCTTATAGGAAAATAATCACCTTGGAGGAGATTATGAGAAATAGTTTTTATTTTTAAAAATGTAATATACTGTCCTTTCCATGAGAAAAATAGCCAATTACTTCCCTTTTACTTTCAGTAAGTGATGACATGTCCAAGGACTGTTTGAGCATCCTGTATAATACCTGTGTGTGTGTAAGTACCCTACCTTTGGTGCTACATTTCTCCCCACCACATCTGCAGTCCTTGAGAGAGGATGATTCAAGGGAGGTGGTGGGCCTGAGAGCTGTCTTCAGATATTGAAGGAATTGGCCGTATGTGTATCTGAGAACCAGAACCAGCTGTGGTTGAAATGATGGGGTGGCGGAGTTTCATAGTAGAGTTGACCTTAACACAGACTGCACAGGTTCAGCTTCATATGACCCAGGCCGTTCAGATCTGTGTTGTTTCAAGACCCAACTATATTTTCAGCCTGTAGTTGGGGATTTGTGGGTGCAGAATGCTGACTGTAATTACAGGTTTCTGACTGTATATAACTCCTGTGTTCTTTAATAGTCAACTGTAGTTGTTAAGAGCCACGGTTACTACAGCAGGTACTGAGCTCCTTTAACCCCGGAGGTATCCCAGCAGAGACTGAACAATTGCCAAAGGGGCACAAGCATTGAAAGAGTGTCTATGACCTCTAAGATACCTTTTAACCTCCTTATGCCCATTCCTTCATTTTCCTTGTTATAAGACAAAACAAGAACCAGAAGCCTCACCCACAATCTAGCAGGACACTACTGCATTGAGCAGTGAGTGAAAAAGAATGGTGAATAAAGAAAGCAATTTATAGACAGGAAAGAGCATAGCACTTAGTGCTGGAACTTGATTTTGAGTTCTGGTCTTTGGCTTAGTGTTTTTTAGTTCACCTCCTAAGCATTAGCTTCTTATTGGTAGAGTGCAGTTAGTAATCATACTAACACCGTAGGGTTGTTGTGAAGACTGAATGAAACGATAGATGTGAAAGTACTCTGTAAAGCAGTATACAAATACAGTTTTTATAAGACAGTACCTGTCTTTAGGAACTTCTGGTAAACTACAGACAGTGAATCATAATACATGGCAGGATGAAACAAGTGCTGTTGGAGATGTGAAACCTGTATGCGATGAAAATGCAAAGAAAGTTAAATTTTATTTTTTGCCTCACTCAAAAAAGACTTCAGGCATCTTCCAGCAGTATGTAAAATCTATCAAAATCATAAATTTAGAAGTATGAATTTAGAAAAATGAAAAGGATAAAATAAGTTAAAGGTATAACATACATCTAAGAAATGAGCTAATATAAAAATGTAGAGCATAAAATCATCTATATTATGGATGGTGCAGCCAACACAAATAGGAGATATGTTTTAACATTTACTCAGCTCAGCATCTGTAACAGTGCTGTGCGCTAGAAATACAATGGAAGCCACTTAAGTTACTTTAAATTTCCTTATAGCAATTTTTTTAGTGAGAAAAAAAATAGGAATAAGTGAAGTTAATTTTAATAAGCTTAAATTTAAATATCAAGATTTTTTTTTTTTTTGCAATGACCTTTCAAAGTTTTTTGCGCTCAGCACATTTTAGTTCACAGTAGCCACATTTCAAGTGCTTAATAGCCACATGAAGCTAATGGCACAAATAGACACAGATGGAGCTATAAGATAAAAATAAACCAATTTTCAGGAGACATACAATTATTCTTGTATCTGAGGCCACTTAGAAATTGTCCTCATTAAAAAAAAAAAAAAAAAAAAAAGACTGTATAATGTCATTGACTCCATTGTTGATTGGCTTTTAGAGTCGGAAATACCAGTACTTCAGGGACTGGGCAGAAAAAAAGAAATGTTTGAAGTTGCTGGTTTTTGGAGTGGGGACTTGTACAAATTGTGAGAATCTTGGAGTAGGCACGTCCTGCCTGAAAAACATTTACATTCAAAATTTTAAAAGTACTGCTGGTCAAATAAAACTTGGACGACTATGTGCTAGGTTATAGCTCCTGATTTAGATACTAAGCAGATACTAGGTCACAAACCTATAAGATTATCATGGAAACACCCCTTCCCAGAAAAACGCATTTGCACACAGTGTTTTGTATATTGCTTTGGGGGTTTAAGACCTAAGCCAAGAATTTCAGATGTAATGTGGGATTGTGTTTCCAGTGTCTGGAAGAGATGTCTTGCTCTTTATGTATATATTTTCATATTTATAACTTATCCTGCCTTTTCTCTCCTCCCTGTGATAGACGGAAGGAGTTACAAAGCGTTTGGCAGAAAAGAATGACTTTGTGATCTTCCTGTTTACACTCATGACGAGTAAGAAGACATTCTTACAAACAGCAACTCTCATTGAAGATATTTTGGGTGTTAAAAAGGTATGTCCTCCAACAGGTGGGTAACCAGGAGGGAGAGTGTCTCAACTGATTGGACTCTGAAACCTGAATTAATGTACAGAGTCCTTTTAAAGAAAAATTCTTCCATACTCCTAGTGTTAAATAATTTTTTGTGTTACTTAAATATATTCAAGTAAAGGTTAGGTTATATTTTTATACTAATAGGTCTTATATGACTATGAAACCTAAACAAATATACAAATTGAAATCAAAGTAATTATAAAACTCAAAAGTTCAGATTGACATAATGAATTTAATGTGATGGCTAATGTCACTTTGCCAAAATCAAATTGCCCCGCACTCACTAATTATTATAATGCAAGATCTTTTTAGCATACCTACTGCTACATGCTGTGTGACTTCATTCTCTTACCACTTTTCTATATTTGAACTGCTGTGAAACCTTCATTTATTAGGATACATTTCCCTTGGTGATTTTTTACTTTCACTTTACTTGTTAAGTTTACCTGTGTTTTTCCCCCATTAGTTGTCAACAGTTAATGTTAATTGACACCAACACAGGAGACACAGGTAATGAGCTCTGAAGTGTGGCCACTTGGTCATAAGATGTACATTCAAGTGATCCAGAATGTGATTTAAAAAAGAAAACTAACTGTGATTTAAAGGAAATCACTAAGTTAACAACTTATCATTGCCCTAAAAACATGCCCATAGACATCCGTTAGAGAACCGCTACATTAGCTTTTTGGTGTTAAGCTTCTTAGGACCTGAAACTTCCTTCCTTCCCTAGTATTTGTCCCGTACATCCATGGTGGTGGCAGTTTGGCAGAATTCTTTTACTGCTCGGGAGGAGGAGCAGCCCCACAGCGCTGGCATTACTGGGAAAAGGACACCCACATGCGTTGTGTTGTCCCAGCTTCCATTTCTGCCTTTTGCTGTACTTTGCTCAGGTTCTGTTTGTTATCACCCAGGCGGAAGATGCATAAGTGAGCCATTGTCTGTAGGAACACATTGGAAATGTGTGCAGGTCCCAGACAGACCCTTTGTGTCCTTCGATAAAAAGGCTTTGTTGTTGTTCCACTAACTGTGCTCCAGCCAGCGTGAGAGAAGGGGCTAGTATCAGCATAGGAGTCTGGAGCTGCTTTTCCTGTGTTGCCAAAATGTTGATGAGTTCTGCTAGATATTGTGATTATCTTAGAACATTTTGCAAAGGAGGCAGACACCATAAAGAAGGAACCCAAACCACGAACTGGGAAAAGGTATTTGCAACCCATGCAACTGACAAAAGATTGGTAGTCAAAATTTATCAGGATTTCTTACAGATTGGCAAGAAAATGAAATAGTTTAGTAGAAAAATGGACAATGATATGAGCAAGCATTTCACAGAGGAGAAACAAATGGTTCATAAATATAAGAAAAGATGCTTAACCTCGTTGATATTTAGGGAAATATAAATCAAGACCACAGTTAGAGGAAATAGAGCAAATTTTGTGAGAATATATATCGTTGACCACACTTCTTTAGTGATGATACTGTTTTATATCAGCAGAATATCTTTACCTTTCTTCTGTTTTCTACTTTACCATGCATGTACCCTGTGACCCAGCACCTAGGTATGCACTGCCCTGCGGGCCAGGACATGATTACTGCAGCCTGAGCCGCGGGCCCGCTCGGGGGAGTTCATTCCCAGGACAGTGACACTCAGGAAGGAAAACACTGGACTGAAGCCAAGAGGTTGTGCAGTAGGTTCAGTGGGTCTGCCAGCTAAATAGAAAAGATCAAAGTGTATCATGTAAGGGTATTGTTTGAAGAAGTTTTTGTTTCTTATTTATACATGTATCTGTGCATTCACAGATGTATGTTTACTGGATTATTATGGATATTTCTAATTATCGGGCATTGTAAGAATGGTTTGTAAGCCACTGCCCCAGAAAACTCACACGTGCATCAAGAAACACAGAACAAAAGTGAAACCAAGTCTGATCTAGCTTCAGGAGAATGGGTAAATTAATGTACTCCATTCATACAGTGGAACACAGGCATAGCTCTGAGGTACCGCGGGTCCAGTTCCAGACCATTGCAATAGAGCGAGAGTATCACAAAGTGAGTCGTCGTCTTTTTGCTGGTGGAAATTTTGCCTTCTATTTGCTAAAAATGCAACATCTGAGAAGTATAATAAAGCAAAGCTCACAAAAATTAAGTATGCTTGTGTTATTGTAGAAAGTGGTGGGGGAACTGAACTATTGCTAAAGGCAACAGCACACTGAAATCATAGAAATTATTGCTGGAAGTCCGTTGCAGAAGAGTGATGTAGTATATCATTTTTATAAAGCTCCGAAATAACTAAACATAAATCATACGATAAAACTGTCTTTAAAGGCAAAGTAGTAATGAACTTCAGGATAGTGGTCATTGCCTCTGGCGGAGAGGCATGGAGATGGCGCAGCGAAGGCATGTGCAGCTATCACTTTGTCAGGCTTTACACCACATAAATAAAAACTGAATACATTTCACCCCTGAACAATGCAGGTTTGAAGTAAGTGAGTCCTTTATACGTAGATTTTTAATTCAATGTTTTTTCTTTAAATCGTGTATTATTATACATGAACTTTTCTCCTTTTGAGACATCTTTATATTCTTCATTTAATACCTGCTACTCTTCCTCCCACTAATTTACTTAACTTCTCATGGATTGGGTATTTCTCTGGCATAGAGAGTACTATTACCAGATAACAAAAAGCATTTTATAAAATTTTATACTCATTCATGATATAAGCTAGGGATAGAAGGAACATTCCTTAATATCTATTAAAACTTACAGCAAACATTAAACTTAATGTTAAACTTTGGAAATAATTTTACTAAAGTCAAGAAACAGGCAAGAATGTCTATTACTTTCTCTAGGTAATCGGTTACTTGTGCATACATAGGAGACACCTATAGGAATGCTCATTGTAACATAGTCTAATAGTGGAAAATTGTAGTTCACCTAAATGTTTATAGAAACAATAAGTTGTGAAGTAAAACAACGAAGAACAAGAGAACTAGAGCTCATTGTATCTGTGAAGTTAAATCTCAGTGTTGACTGAAAAGTAAGGTGGTATATGATGCCATTCACACTATATGCAGAACAGTACCATATGTTTTTATGGAAATATAAGTATAAAAATGTGGCAATAACAAATACAAAGTTCAAAATAATGACTACCTCTGGGGGGAGAGAAGGGAATGCAAGTAGATGGGGAAACACAGTCCTTCAGCTATATTTGCAAAATGTTATTTCTTAAAAAGAAACATCTGTAGCAAGAATGGCAGTTTATGATTCATAAAAGTTGAGTGATGGGTATTTCTGTCTGTTTGTTTGTTTGTTTGTTTGTTTGAAGAGGTAAAATGAGCCACATGAGCACAGGTAGAAAATAAGAACATTGGTGCTCCAAGGGTTTAATCCTTAGACCTGTCCTAGGAGGTGAGTCAGTCCCATTTGACAAATGAGCAAACAGACTTAGAGAGGTTCTTTAACTTCGGATTGTGCAGCTGTAACTTGCAGAGCTGGGATTTGAATCTAAGAGGCCACATTCTTAGGGGAATGCAGAGGAGCACATCTAATTTCTAATGCACTGAGCACAGGGATTGTTTTTGTGTGTGTGTGTCTTCTGTAGGAAATGATCCGGCTAGACGAAGTCCCAAATCTGAGTTCCTTGGTATCCAATTTCGATCAGCAGCAGCTTGCTAATTTCTGCCGGATTCTGGCTGTCACCATTTCAGAGATGGATACAGGGAATGATGACAAGCACACGCTTCTTGCCAAAAACGCTCAGCAGAAGAAGAGCTTGAGCTTGGGGCCCTCTGCAGCTGAAATCAACCAAGGTAAAGTCTCTAAACTCTCAGAAATCTAAGATTGTAGCTCTAAGACGCCTTTCTAAATCATCTAATTTTTCAGTATTTCTAGAGCTTAATCCATCTGAGGGTTCCAGGGATTCACTTAGAATGTGCAAAATTTGTGTGTATTTGTTCATTTTGGAGGGCCAAGTCTATAGTATTCATCAGATTTTTGAATGGATCAGAACCTCAAAAAAGTTAAGAATCATTGTTTGTCAGAGTCACAAAAACATGTACCTTTTGATCCATAAGTCCCTCTGGGCCTTTATTCTATAAGTTACGCACTCACACACACACACACACACACACACACACAAATGTATATACAAGGTTATTCATTGCAACATTTTTGTTTATAATAACAAAAGACTAGAAATAATCTAAATGTTTTGTTCATTAACAAGAGACTGCCTAGTTGAAAGAACTTATATATATAATCTATCTATATAAAGAGGTAATATGCTAATTGGTCCTAACGGTGTCCCAGTCACAACTGTTCAACCAGCTGTGCACGCACAGGAGCTGGTGGGCAAGGATGGGGGCAGGGACTTGCACCACCCGGATAGGAGGCCTCTCCTCTGTACCCAGTCCGGGGGGGGGGGGGGTATCAGGATGGAGGGCCTCAGCAGAGAGCTCTCAGTACTACTGCGCCGGGGTCTGAAGGCCCGGAGAGGAGGGGAGAACAGGTGGGCAGTTAGGGGGTTTAGGCCAGGAGGTAGAGTAGATAAGCAGCTAGGGGGATCAGACAAGAAGGGGAGAGAAGTTAGGGCTATCAGGCTGGCAGGAGATAAATACATTAAAAAAGAAAAGTCTTTATGAAATATCGAGGTTCACTTTCATACCTGTGTGGCTAATACCGTATTTTCCGGCGTGTAAGATGACCCCCTAATTTTACAGTTAAAACATAGGTTTAGGCCTATATTCGCTGTATAAGATTACCCCCCACTTCAAAGAAAAGATCTTTACTTTGCCGTCAAGATCTGCAGGTAATTTTTGTGCAATTTTGGTCTTTTGTAGTTTTAATTCACTTTTTAAAAACTAGGTCAAACATTATTTTCTAGTCATTCACTAATATATAAAGGATAGAAAAGGGGCTAAGTAAGATTATTTGTTAGCTTTGTGCTGGGACTGGATTTATATGACTTTATAGAATCATCCTAACTACTTTGTTTTAAAATTTTTAAAGAATTTCTTTAATATATTTTTTTGAATTTTACTTTAAAATTTTTCATTATGGGGAACATCCCACATATAAAAGTAGAAATGTATATAATACACATGACTGTGTACTGATCTTCATTTAACCATCACTTAACTTAGACATTATCAACTGATGGCATGTCTTTATCTCTACCTCCATTCACTCCTCCCTTCCTCACTTTATTTTTTATTTTTTTATTGTTCGAAGCATTACAAATAGTAGTACATATGTCTCCTTTTTTCCCCCTTGATCTCCCCCCAGCCTCCCTTCCCCCCCCCACCCCCCCGCCCCATATGCCTTCACCTGCCTCCCCCCATGTCTTGTATCCATTGGTTATGTTTGTATGCATGCATACAAGTCATTCGGTTGACTGCAGACTAGAAATAAACATATAACAACAAAAAATGTTTGAGTCCCAATTTCAATGTTCAACAGTTCTGAGACCCAATTTCAATGTCAAATAGTTCCTTATGTGTACATGTCAGCAATGATATCTGGATGATGTACAGATTATGGCAACGCAGGTCCGACCCCCTCTGGTTTGGTCCTGGGCAACCTGCAGCAATGCACAGCTGCTGAATCCTTCCTCACTTTAAAAAAATATATTTTTAAAAAATTTTATTTCAGAAAGGAAAGGAGAGGGAGAGAGAGAAATGATGAGAGAGAATCACTGATTGGCTACCTTCTGCATGTCCCCCACTGGGGATTGAGCTCTCAACCTGGCCTATGCCCTGACCTGGGAATTGAACCATGACCTCCTTTTTCACCAATAGATAGTCAACTACTGAGCTTCCCTTCCTCACTTTGGATTACTTTGAAGCAAATACCAGACATCATAAAAATTTCACCTATATATATGTGTTTCCACAAAATAATGACTCTTTTTAAACAGAACTCCAGTACCATATTATGCATTCCCAAATTAATAGTAATATCTTAATACTATAAAATATTAATTAGGTTTGAATTAGATGACACATTTGCCTGGCTCAAAAAATCTATAGATTCAAATGGTGTTCATTGAAAAGTTTCCTCCCCTCTATTCCCATTGGCCTAATTCTCGTTACCTTCAACAACTGCTATTTTCTATCCTTCCTGGAAGATTTAATGCACACACAAGCAAACATGTATAGATGTTAGCCTTATTTTAAAGAAGGTTAATAATGTTGACAAGATTTGAACCCATATTTCCCTACTTCCAAAGGTTATTATGTTCTCTTATGCTGATCAGGATTTCCATCTTACTCATACGAGTTGGATAATTATCCAGTTAGAGGAGTTGGGTTTAAAAAAAAAAAAAAAAAGGCTTATCTGATGAACAAAATAGATCCAGAGACATAGAAACATTGAATAGACTGTCAAACATCAGAGGAAAGGCAAGGGCAGGTGGGCGGAAGGGGTAAGAGTTCAGCTGAAGGACTTGTATGCATGCATGTAAGCATAACCAATGGACAGACACTGGAGGGTGAGGGCATGTTCTGGGGTAGGGTGGGGGGTACGAGAGTGGGAGCAGCTGGGGAGAGGTAAATGGGGGGGAAAAGACATATGTAATACTTTCAACAATAAAGAACTTAAATTTTTTTTAAAAGGGCTTACCTTTTCTTCTTTCTCTTCTCTGCACTTGTTTATTATAGGAAAGTCAAACTATAGATAGTTTTAAAAGAAGCATTTATATGCTTTTCTACTCAGAAACAGCCATAGTAAATGCCTTAGAATATTTCTTTATGTACATATTTAAAGAAGTAAAGTTTCAAATTTTTTAAGAAAATATGACCAAGCCAATACTTATGTAACATTTAAGCAAATTTTTATAAGTATATTTAAATACCTTTTGGAGTCACTGTATAGAGAGGTATGTGTCATTTTTTTTTTTAATATATTTTATTGAATTTTGACAGAGAAGAGAGAGGAATAGAGAGTTAGAAACATCGATGAGAGAGAATCATCAATCAGCTGCCTCTTGCACACCCCCTACTGGAGATGTGCCCGCAACCAAGGTACATGCCCCTGACCGGAACCAAACCCGGGTCCCTTCAGTCTGCAGGCCGAGCTCTATCCACTGAGCCAAACCGGTTTCGGCTGAGTCATCATTCTTAATGTCTGTGTTGTATTCTATTGTTTGAATATATTATATTTAATCAATATGCTATTAATGAACATGTAGTTATTTCTTTTTGTTATAGAAACCACACCAATGAACATCTATAAAGAGAGCTGTCTTTGTATTATATAACTAGAGGCCCAGTGCACAAAATTAATGCACTAGGAGGAGGGGGGGTTGTCCTCAGCCCAGCATGCATCCTCAATTTGGGACCCTCGGGGGATGTCTGACTACCTGTTTAAGCCCTGTGGGATTGGGCCTAAACTGGCAGTCAGACATCCCTCTCACAATCCGGACTGCTGGCTTCCTACTGCTCACCTGCCGACCTAACTGGCCCCAACTGCCCTCCCCTGCTGGCCATCTTGTGGTGGCCATATTTGACCACATGGGGGCGGCCATCTTGTGTGAAGGCGTGAGGGTAAATTTGCATATTACCTCTTTATTATATAGGGTTGGTTATTTCCTTATGGTAAATTTCTGATAATAGACTTCATGGCTCAAAGACACACAGATTTAAGGCATAAGTTATTCTAATTTATATCTCCACCAATAGATATAAGAGAGCATTTTTCCTTACTAAATGTGTTTCTATAACTTTATTATTATTTTACCGTTGTTTGGCCTTTCATTTTAAAGGGAGATTGTGGCTGACTAGCTGCTGTCAGGTTAGAAATCATTCCTGTCATGCAAGTGAGGGGCTGGTTGGTTGCTGAGGGCTTTAGAAATGGTCTCTGTTTTGAAAATTCCTTCTTTTGTTCTTTCTTTTGCAGCGGCCCTTCTCAGCATTCCTGGCTTTGTTGAGCGGCTTTGTAAGCTGGCAACTCGGAAGGTGTCAGAGTCAACGGGCACAGCTAGCTTCCTGCAGGAGCTGGAGGAGTGGTACACGTGGCTCGACAATGCTTTGGTGCTAGATGCTCTGATGCGAGTGGCTAATGAGGAATCAGAGCACAGTCAAGGTACTTGTGGTGGGTCTCCTGAGAGGTGGATTCCTGGAGCCATTCTTGACCTCTTTTCCAAAGAGGATAAATTGAAATTTGCTCAAAGTAGAATTTTTCCTCAGGGAATCTTGGAGCATGATTATTAAGATTCTTTTGCTAGTTAGTGACAAATCTCTTGTATCTCCCTCTAAGAGGTCCAGTCTGATTGGAGGGACTGTAACTTGGTTGCACAATCAGAGAGACTGTTTGGAGCCAATAACCAGAGCATTCTTAGGAACCCAAAAAGTTCTTGCTCTGTCTTCTTTTTCTTTAATCTTCTCTCTCCTCTTTTCTGATGAGTAGGCTGCCTAGTAAATGTGTAGGTTCTAGTCTCAGCTCCAGCTGTGTGGTGAAGGAGTCTGGCTCATTTCAGGCCATTTGCCCAACACTGAAGCATTTGACTGGCCAGCAGGATGGGGTCAGATTATACAAACCTAGTAATTCTCACTATAATCACATGCAGATAAAATTGAAGGAAGGAAAGTCTGGGGTGTCAGTCTGCAGAACTCTGTGGATCTGCCTCCACAGTGAAACTATAAAAGAAATTTAATTTTTTTAAAAGGCATTTAGAGTAGGAAATAATAAAACTATATAGATGACATGATCGTCTATATAGGAAGACCTAAAGAATTCACTAAAAAACCCACTAAACTAATGAATGAGTTCAACAAAGTTATAAGCTTAATTTTAAGATATGACTTCAATATACAGAAATTAATTCTATTTCTCTACAGTGGCAGTTAATAAACTGAAGTTAAAACAATTTCATTTACAGGAATATAAAAAAGAATATAGTGCTTAGAGATACATTTAATAAATGCAAAACTTATACTCTGACAATTTTAAAACATTATTGAAAGAAATTAAAGAAGACCTAAGTAAATGGAAAGACCTCTCAGGTCTTTATTTATGGATCAGAAGACTCAGTATTTTTAAGGTAGCAGTACTCCCCATCTTGATCTATAGATCTATCTGCAGATTTAACCCAATTCCTATCAGAATTCCTACTGGCTTCTTGCAGAAGTGGACTAGCTGGTCCTAAAATTCCATGGAAAAGCAAAGGACTGATGTTCCTCTCTCTTCCGCTCTCTCCCCTCATCCCCCAACTTCCTTCTTCTCTCTAAGTGTGTCTTTGGATGAGGATTTAAAAAATAAGAGCTTGCAGATTAAAAAGAAAAAAACAAGTAACAAACAAGCATCAGAGTTTGTTTTTTCTTTCTATTTAATGTATACGTTGCTTATGTGTGCCAGGCATTATTTTAAGCACTTCCAATATGTTAAATCCTTTCATCTTTGCAACATTGGCAAGAGATAGGTACTATTGCCATTATCCCTGTTTTACAGATGAGGATGGATAGGGGAGCATAGTGACATCAACAAATTTACCCAAGGCCACCTCGCTAGTGAATGGCCCCAGAGTCTTCTTTAACAATCATCCTTCATTCAGCAACTGGGCTTCTTCAGAATTATAGTTTTATATTAGTGACATAATATGGCTGGAAAAAATAGTTTCGGTCTACAGGGTAGAGTAGATTAGGTTTTCATACCATAATATCAACATGCAGAAATCACCGTGACTTCTGCATGCAGCTTGGCTGAATATATCTGATGTCCAACTGCTGCTCTGTGCCATGTGTTTTTCAGTCCAATAGGAGCTTGAAAGGACCTTAGTCAGTAGTTACTAACTCACCTTTTCACATTTAAAATGAGGGCAACTGATGGGAAGTAACTCCTAAGGTCTCCTGACTCTGACCAGTGACCTTTTAAAATGACAGGGATCTAAGAGTGGGGCTTCCCAAGAATCGGGCGGTGGGCTTTTCTTGTGTTCCTATTCAGTCCTCAGTCACCCTGGCCCTCACTCTGGCACTCCGATGATTCCCCGTTTACAGAGCTGTCTGAGGCCTAGTGAGGAGGTGACAGCCCAGCCAGCAAGTTGTAATTCCAGAGCATCACTTTGCCGTACCGCCTTCCACACACTGTGCTCCTCTGACCTGCGTGACCCAGGAGACTTTTTGTTAATTGGGTCATAGAAAAAATTAGGCGGTTTACCTAAAGCCCAAAACAGTGCCTGGCACGTATCAGATGATAAATATTACTTACTTGCTGCTGTTGTTACTAACAATGAAGTTGGATGAAATGATAATCTGCTAGTAGGTAATATGTTGATCTTTGTCACTAGCAGCAATTGATGCCCAGACGGCCTTAGAAAGATGAACCTTAGAAAGTTTAGAAGGTTCTTTGAAAAAATGGGGTGGAAAAATCTTCAAAATGAATTCCTCCCAGCTCTTGGCAGTGCCCCTTTGTGGAATCTAGGTAGAGAGGAACCAACTACTAGGAGTCATATTTGACCCGAGGAGGGTATAACACAATTTGCTGCTCAACATCTGTCTGGGCACTGTTTGGGGTGGTGGGAGGTGGGGGCATTTGATGGTGATGGAGGAAGGAATATGTGGGTCATGTTACTGCAGGGGCTGTGTCGGGACATTGTTCGTATGTGTTAAAGTTGATGAGCTAGAACTGCAGAGTCCATTTTTCTAAATCCCTAAGCTTGCCTGGCCTCTGGGGGTTTTGTGGCTTTCAAATTCTCTGTCAGGGCCTCAGGATTCAGGTAATGGCTCTTTTACCTCAACTCTGTTCAGACAGGTATGAGGGACAGAAACATGTCTCCTCACAGGCAGTGACTCATCCCTCTCTCCTGGTGGCTGTCTCAGCCTCCATTGTGCTCTCTCCTCCAGGGGCTTCTGAGGAGAACGGCCTGCCTCACTCTTCAGCTCGGACCCAGCTGCCGCAGTCCATGAAGATTATGCACGAGATCATGTACAAACTGGAAGTGCTCTATGTGCTCTGCGTGCTGCTGATGGGGCGTCAGCGAAACCAGGTGGGCTCTCCCCGGCCCTCAGACGGGGCGTCGGAGCCAGTGCCTCCTGGGCGCTTGTGGAGTGCTGTGTGCTCCATGAGGCGCCCTCAGAGCGGCTCTCCAGCCCAGCCAGCATTGGGGTCGATTCCTTTCCTCTGAGGAAACCTGTCTGATTCCAGAGCTCACGTGCTCTCCTCTGTACTTTGCTGTGGGCAGCATTTCTAGGCAAAGCATTGGTGCCCTGCAGAACAGCTATGCTAGCTGACCTTAACATGAAGAATACATGGCCAGTGACTGGCAGGATGACTGCTCTGTAGATGCACTGGTGGAGCTGCCAGCTCAATGGGGGCTATGGGTGGTGGGCCAGACCCCAGCACTGTGTCACATTATGAAAACAAGGCAGCTTCCCGGGGACTCGAGGTGTGCTGGGGTTCCCCAGCCTTCAAGCAGTTCCAAGAGGGAGGAGCAGGGGCCCATACCCTACAAAGGCAGAAAGAGGTTGTGGAAGTATGCAGCATCTTTAAGGTACAGAGGAGCCCTCTCCTGCTAGCTGCATTATTCTGGGGATGGAATTAGGCATGGGGAGGGGTGAGTAAAGGGGAGTGGAGGCTGAGTGCTCAGTGGTCCTTCCATACCTTTTGATTCAGACCCCGGACCATCACACAGCTCTGTGTGAGACAGGTGCAATTATCCCTATTCCACATGTGAGGAACAATTTTAGATGGTGTGGACAGGGGGAAACTCAAAGAAGGGTGACATCTGGCATGGCAGCGCCCTGAAGAAAGAGAGGGAGCCAAGCATGCTGACCCCAAGGCAGCCTACCTAGCAGAGGGAGCAGGCCCCTGAGGTGGGAGCATGCTGGGGGGTTGGGAGGCCAGTTGGAAGCGGGAGGCTAGGGGCACGGTGTGGACTAAAAAAGCAACGAGGAGAGGAGGGCAGCGGGGCTGCATGGAGCCAGATTCCGTCAGGCTTCCATGGGCCACGCTAAGGACTTCGGTGTTTTGCTCTGAGTGAAATGGGAAGCCAACTCTGTGGCTGCCGTGTGAAGAGATGACAGCTAGGACCTGCATGTCGGTGGTGGGTAGGATTTGCTGACAGTTTAGATGTAAGCATAAGAGAGAAGAATTGATTATGACTTCCTTAACTCCTTCCAAGGTTTTTGGCCTAAGCAGGGGGGAGGATGGATTTGCCATTTACTGAGATGGCTAAGGTGGGTAAGGGGTGGAAGGGCAGGCATAGGGAAGATGAGGAGTACAGTTTGAACAAGTTAGGTGTGAGGTGTCCATTAGGATCCGCACCTGGAGTTAGGGGAGAGGCCAGGACTAGAGGTATCACTTGGGGGGTCATCAGCGTATAGTTGGTATTTAAAAACCAGGATCTCATTGGGTGAGATCCCATCCTGACATCCACAGCATTGGAGCTCCTTCCTTCAATGTGGGATAGTATCTACACTAATAAAAGAGAAACATACAAACTGACTGTACCTCTGCTGTGCCCACAAGCCACGCCCACCAGCCAAGCAAGTATGCAAATTAACCCAACTGAGATGGCGATGGCCATAGAGATGGCCATAGAGCTGTAGCGAGCAGGAGACTTGGGTTGCCCCAGCAATGGAGGAAGCCAAGCTTCCTGGCCAGCCCTGGCCTCTGCACAAGGCTACAAAGTTTCCTTGAAGATAAATAAATCCCAGATACCTGCTTCCAGCTGGCCCTGGCCTCCGCTCAAGGAGGCACTGAAAAAAAAAAAGAAAGAAAGAAAGAAAAGAAAAAGAGGGGCTGGGAGCTTGGGTTGCTGGGGGGGAGGGGAGCGGTGATCAGGCCAGGATGCGATGGCAGTTGTGGGTGATCAGGCTGGTGGGGGACAGGGCCATTGAGGGTAAGCAGGGGGGCCAGTAGGGAGTGAGCAGGCCATCAGTGGGAGTCAGTCAGAGGTGATCAGGACAGCTGGGGGGGGGGGGGGCGGTTTGAGTGAGCAGGCCAGGAGGGGGGCAGTTGGGGATGAGCAAGCTGGCAGGGAGGGCATTTGGTGGCGAGCAGGCCAGCAGGCAGAGTGGCTAGGGGCAGTCAAGCAGGCAGGCAGGCAGGCGAGCGGCTGGAGCCAGCATTCCCCCTCTTGTAAGAGGGTTGTCTGCCAGTTTAGGCTCGATCCCTGTAAACTGGCAGTAGGACATCCTTCGAGGGTTCCTAAATTAGAGAGAGTGCAGGCCAGGCTGAGAAACACCCCCCACACCATGCACGAATATTTTTTTTTTAACCTTTATTGTTCACATTATTACAAATGTTTATTTTTCCCCCCTCCATTGCTCCCCTCCACCAGGTTCCCACCCCACCCTCTGCCCTTTCCCCACCCTCCATTGTCCTCATCCATAGGTGCACAGTTTATGTTCAGTCTCTTCCTGCACCCCCCCTCTCCTCTTTTCCCCAAGAATCGTCAGTTCACTCCCCTTCCATACCTCTGATTCTATTATATTCACCAATTAATATTATTCATCAGATTTTTTTAAAATTCCCTTGGTTTTTAGATTCACTTGTTGATAGTTACGTATTTGTTGTTCATATTTTTTATCTTTATTTTCTTCCTCTTCCTAAAGAACCCCCTTCAGCAATTCATATAATTTTGGTTTGGTGGTGATGAACTCCTTTAGCTTTTTTTTATTAGTGAAGCTCTTTATCTGGTCTTCGATTCTGAGTGATAGCTTTGCTGGGTAGAGTATTTTTGGCTGTAGGTTCTTGTTATTCATCACCTTGAATATTTCCTGCCATTCCTATCTGGCCTGCATGATTTCTGTTGAGAAATCAGCTGACAATTGTATGGGTGTTCCTTTATAGGTAACTACCTGCTTCTCTCTTGCTGCTTTTAATATTCTCTCTTTGTCTTTTGCTCTTGGAATTTTAATTATGATGTGTCTTGGTGTGGTCCTCTTTGGATTCCTTTTGTTTGGGGTTCTGTGCGCTTCCTGGACTTGTAAGTCTAATTCTTTCACCAGGTGGGGAAGTTTTCTTTCACTATTTCTTTCAGTATGTTTTCAGTATCTTGCTCTCTCTCTTTTTCTGGGACTCCCATAATTCTGATGTTGGTTTGCTTGAAGTTGTCCCAGAGGTTTCTTACATTATCTTCAACTTTCTGGATTCTCTTGTCTTCTTGCTTCTGCGGAGGAGTGTCTTCTTGCTCTTTATGCTCCAAATCTTTGGCTTGATTCTTGCAATCTTCCATTCTGTTTTTAGAACTCTGTATAATATTTTTTATTTCAGGCAGTGTATTCTTTATTTCTAGTTGATCTCTTATTATTTCTAGTTGATCCCTTTTCATATCCTCATAGGTCTTGTTTATTTTATCGGCCTTTTCTAGGAAATTCTTGGAAAACCTTATGGGGGGGGAGGGAGGAGCGGGGGAGAGAGGGAGAGAGGGAGAATGAGAAGGAGAGGGGCTCAGTGCACTAATTCAATGCACCAGTGGGATCCAGCCTGACCCCAATTAATTGGGGAGGATTGGGGCTGGGCCTCTAGGGAGGAGGAGACAGCGGGAGGTTGGCCCTGCAGGCCTGCCCGGATCTGGGCCTGATCAGGGCTGGGCTGGCTGGTGCGAGGGGCTTGGGTGATTGGCTGGCAGACCCCACCCACCAAATGAGGTGGGGGGGTCAATCAGGGAACAGAGCTGCCTGGGGGGGAGGATGTGGGCCAATCAGGGTGGTGGGGGCTGATTGGAGGTGCGGCCAGCCTTGGGGAGGGTGCTGTGGGTGGTGGCCCAACCAGCCCCGCTCTCGAATGAATGGGGGCGGGGCCCATCCGGGGCCAGTCAGGGGGAGGGGCCAAGGGAGGTTTCCAGCCAGCTCCACACCCTGATCCCCTGGCCTCAGTGGGAGGCTGGGAGCAAATCAGAAAGGTTGAGGCATTTGCTTAAGGTTACACGGTTTGTATGTGGTGTAGTTAAGAGACAAACCCAGAGCGATCAGAACAAAAGAGTTTCTGTTGTAGTATGACTCCTAGGATATTGTGAGAATTAATGAGCAGGACAGGGAATGTGTGGCTGTTTTCTGTAGCCACAGCTCTCCCTACTACTGTTACTGTTGCTTTCTTTGTCCTGAAGGCTGTGATTGTACCAGCACAAGGCTTTGTACGTCTTTTCCTCGCATTGGGTTTAAAATGCCTTTGCCTTCCACCCCCATCCAGGTTCACAGGATGATCGCAGAGTTCAAGCTCATCCCCGGGCTTAATAACTTGTTTGACAAGCTGATTTGGAGGAAGCATTCAGCATCTGCCCTCGTCCTCCACGGCCACAACCAGAACTGCGACTGCAGCCCGGTGAGCACGGGACCCTGGGGAGGGTGGCTTTATTTGCCGGGAGTAGTTGTTTCCAGACCTTGACCCTTTGAAATCTCCATCTTTGAGAGTAGAGCAGAAATCCCAAGTCACAACCTGTTCATGCCGTAACTGGAACCTACCTCGGGGGAGGATCCGACTCCACCCCTCCGCCTACAGCAGAGCCTCCTTCTCCTCCCCTTTATATGCCTTGGGAAAGGCAGGGCCACCCTCTACTTATCTAACAGATTCCCTCCTCCTGTGCTCTGCTGCACTGGAACTGTATCCACTGGTAACTTTGCTTCGAGAACCACACACCGCCTGTGCTCTGCATCCAAAGGGATTTAGGATGCCTTCCTCTCTTAAGGGATTGAGCTCTCCATCTTGTCTCTGTCAGAGCTCCCAAGAGAGCAATGAACTGGGAGCTGGGCAGCCTGCTGTGTGGTCACACAGCTTGTTGGGAGAGCTGGTACGAGTCGCTGAATCTCTGAGCCTCTGATTCTTGCAAAAGGAAGATCACCCTTCCTTGCCTGCTGCCCTCTCAGGCCACATGGAGACTCGGCCATCAGCATGAGGAGCAAAGTGCTCTGGGGTCTTAAAGGGCCACCAGCTGTCAGGGTCCAGTGCCATGGTTCCTCTTTGGTCTCTGTCAAAATTACTTGATTTTTATTCAGATTATGTTAATATTTTTATTGCATTTTATCTCTTTAATTATTTGTAACACATTTTTATGGTCTCTTTCAGTTTGTTCTTGGGGTACTAATACTTGTGTTTGAGTCTTCAGACTCAACTTTGGGCAGAGTCTTGTCCAGGGCTGAGTACTGTATGGAGAGTCTTGCCCGGGGCTGTGTACTGTTTGGGGGTGGGGCGGGTTGTTTTCCCTCCAGGTACCTGCGGAGCCTGGGCCCTGGGAATGATTAACAAGCCCTTTGCTTTGTCTGCCGGGGGCTTCAGAGGCTGTTCTCCGGGGTTCTCTCATCAGCAGCAGCCTGGCAGAGAAACCCTTCTTTTGCCAAATATATATGCTTCCCAGGCTTTAAATGGGCCCACAGTTCTGTCTGGTCCCTGCAGGGCATTCACACCCAAGCCCTGGCCTAGATGAGTCGTTTTCGCATCTTCACCGTTAGCACTGTGCTCAGACTCTGAACTCGGTCCTTTATTTCTGAGTCCTATGAATTTTCCTTTCTTTCTTATGAACTTAGCCTCATCTTCAAAAGAATTTCAGTTATTTTTTAATCCAATATGTTGGGTTGTTTTTAACAAGAAGAATCCACATTAGCTTAATCTGCTATTGTCCAGGCATGGTAGACAACAAAGGTTTTTCTAACTCAAGAAAAGTCCTCCCTGTGCATGAGGACAGAGGCTCAAAAAGCAAAGCAGTGTGGCCACGCTCTCCCCAGAGGGTGTTTCCTTTGGAGCCTTGTGACTATGGTTTTAACATCCAGGTGCACATGTATTTCAGGACATCACCTTGAAGATACAGTTTCTGAGGCTTCTCCAGAGTTTCAGCGACCACCACGAGTAAGTCCGAGCTGTCCCTGGAAGGAGAGTTGTTGCTCTGTCTTCTCTCCCTGCTTTGTCCCATCGCTGACCCCTGCTCAGGAGGAGGACCTGGGAGCCGTGACAGCCGCTGTCACCATGTGTGGCTGCACTTCATGATGCTGTAACCAGAGCTGCCGTTTGTCCAGCCCTTCCTGTATGCCAGGCATTCCACTGAGCTTTCCCTTCGTCCGCAGCAGCCACCCTAGGGAGTGAGGACAGGAGTTGTTAGCCTCTTACTGCCCTGTTTTTGCTGGTAGAACGCAACCTCTGTGAAGCACACTAAGAACGATGAGTTTTGTTTGGACGAGTTGGGTGGGAGTGCCTTTAAGAAATCAAGTAGATCTTTCAGTAGCAAAAGAAAGGCCTGGGATGCTAAGGGAAGAGGGCTTGTTAGGGAAGGTGGCCAGCAGAGGGATGGGGATTGGGGCCAGGAAGACTCCATACCCTGAGAGCCCATGTAGAGCAACAGGGCAGCCTGGCATGCCTGCTCAGGGGGTACAGAGTGTTGGGGATTCTCGGATTCTCCCTCTCTACAAAAAAAGGACGAGGGACTAGCCCAGTGCTGACCTGGCAGCCCCAGTCCTGTCCTGAAGCTCCTGCAACCCATTTGTTTCAGGAACAAGTACCTGCTGCTCAACAACCAGGAGCTGAATGAACTCAGTGCCATCTCTCTCAAGGCCAACATCCCCGAGGTGGAAGCCGTCCTCAACACTGACAGGTGAGCATGGAGAGGGTACGGCTGTGGCTCACAGCCCATCACAGCTTGTGTGCTCTGGGGCACACAGGTGGGTGCACGCAGGTATGCATACTTGTCCTTACATGTGGCTGCAGTGTCCTGAAGGCTCCTGTGCGTAAGACATTGTTCTCATGTCGCCTGCATTATATCAGTGGAGCCCCACAGCAGCCCTAGGAAGAAAGTATCATCATCACCTCCACTTTACACATGGGGAGCAGGTCTCAGAGAGGTCCCCTGACAAAGGTCATGGATGCCCTGCCCCTCCCCTTGCTCTCACCTTTGTTGACATCCTCCTTGATTGCGTGGTGGCAGTTACAGCCAAGGAGGACAAACAGAAGCAGCCCCTCACCCTCAGCAAAGTCCCATTTGCTGGATTATGTTTGCTTCCTCATCTGGAACTGGGCAAGGAGGTCACAGGCTCATAGGGTCAGGGCAAAGGAGGACTGTATCCAGCAACACGAGTCATAATCCCCAGGTTTTTTGTTGTTTTTGAGGGAACAGAACTCTTGTTCAAGTGAAATCATACATAGCCTCACCCTGAGGTCTGTAGCAGATAAAGTAAGCTTGTTTATTTAAAGAGAACATGTGAGAGCCCAGAACTCCTGCTGGGCTTCTCCTTTCTTCCCCATGATGAGGCCTGAGTCATTTTAGCTCCTGCCTTTGTTTCCTGGACCTGGGAGCTGAGGCCCAGAGGCACGGGTACTTTTTCGGGGCTGGCTATATCTGAACCGGGGGCCCAGGGTACTTCCTGCCTTATCCTGTTGGCACAAATTCCACCCCATCTGATAGATTCTGTCAAGGCCTGTTCACAGCTCACTTTTGGTGCACATAGCCCTTCTTCCAGTAGGTCTGAGCCGGGTCTGATTCTTGGATTGTTTCTGGCCTTTGATCACTTGCTAGTGAGTCTGGGATGGAAAGTTGGCCTGAGACAAGGTGTGAATGCACTTGGCTGTTCAGTTAAGACTGCAGGGGGGCATGGGATGCTCTGGACACAGGTAGAGCAAAAGGGCAACCTGGCAGCCTGGAAATGTCCCCAAATTTCTCCCCACCTGTTAGTGGAAAGACCAGTCCCAGTGCTCCTGTTAGCCTCTCAGATCTGCCACGAATGTCCCTCTCTGAATTCGTGCACCAGTGGGGTCCCTCGGCCTGGCCTGGGGGCTCGGGCAGAAACAGGCTCTCCAACATCCCCCGAGGGTCCTGGATTGCAAGAGGGTGCAGGCCAGGCCGAGGGACCCCACTGGTGCACGATCAGGGCTGGAGAGGGAGACGTGGGAGGTTGGCCAGCTGGGGAGGGACCGCAGGAGGGCTCCAGGGCCTGCCCGGCCTGTCTCACTCAGTCCCGATTTGCTGGACCCCAGCAGCAAGCTAACCTACCGATGGGAGCACCTGCCCCCTCATAGTCAGTGCACATCTAAGCAGCTGGTTGACTGGTTGACTATTTGCCCCCTGCTGGTTAGTGCATGTCATAGCGAGCAGTTGAGCAGCCTTAGCATATCATTAGCATATTATGCTCTGATTGGTGGAACAGCATATTAGGCTTTTATTATATAAGTTTTTTTCAGTATAAAATGGTTATTTTCACATTTAATTTTGATTTAAGTGTTTTAGCTGTTATATATTGGGTATAGATTTTTAAAAATCATTCTTTAAATTTTTAATTAAAGTTGACATGTAGCCGAAACCGGTTTGGCTAAGTTGTAGAGCATTGGTCTGTGGACTGAAAGGTCCCGGGTTCGATTCTGGTCAAGGGCATGTACATTGGTTGCAGGCACATCCCTGGTAGAAGGTGTGCAAGAGGCAGCTGGTCGATGTTTCTCTCTCATCGACGTTTCTAGCTCTCTATCTCTCTCCCTTCCTCTCTGTAAAAAATCAATAAAATATATATTTTTTTAAATTAATTTAAAGTTGACATGTATTAGTGTATACCCCAGTGATTAGACATTATATAACTTAAGTGATTGTCCTGATATATCTTGTACCCATTTGACACCATACATAATTATTAGAATATTAATTGACTGTTTATTATACTGTACTATTGTGTAACTATCAATTTTTACTTCTTAATTGTTTCACCTTTTTCACCCATTTCCCCAACTCCTTCCCCATCTGGCAACCATCAAATTATTCTCTATGTATGAGTCTGTTTCTTTATGCTTCTTTGTTTATTTTGTTTTTTAGATTCAGTTGTTGATAGATATGTATTTATAGCCATTTTATCGTTTTTTTCCCCTTCTTCTTAAAGAAAACCCTTTTACATTTTATTTTATACTGGTTTGGTGGTGATGAACTCCTTTAACTTTTTCTTGTCTGGAAAGCTCTTTGTCCTTTTACTCTAAATAGTAACTTTGCTGAGTAGAATAATCTTGCTTTTCATTACTTTGACTATTTCTTACCATTCCTTCTGTCCTGCAAATTTTCTTTTAAGAAGTCAGCTGACAGTCTTATTATGGGAGCTCCCTTGTAAGTAACTAACTGCTTTTCTCCTGCTGCTTTTAAGATTCTCTCTGTCCTTAACCTTTTGCATTTTAATTATGATGTGTCTTAGTGTGGGCCTTTTTGGATTCATCTTGTTTGAGATTCTGCACTTCCTGGAAATGTTTATTTCCTTCACCAAGTTAGGGAAATTTTCTTGCTCTCTCTCTCCTCTGCCTGGTACCACCATGATGTGAATGTTGGTACACTTGAAGTTATCCTAGAGGCTCCTTGTACTGTCTTCATGTTTTTGGATTCTTTTTTTCTTCTTGCTGTTCTGATTGGGTATTTTCTGCTTCATTATATTTCAAATCACTGATTTGATTCTCTACTTCAACTCTATTGTTGATTCCCTATAAATTAATATTTCACTTCAGTTAGTGTATCCTTCATTTCTGACTGGTTCTTTTTATGTTTTCCATGTCCTTTTTTATGCTGTTGAAGTTGTCACTAAGTTAATTGAGCATCCTTATAACCAGTTTTTGATTCTGCATCTAATAAAATTACTTGTCTCTGTTTTGTTCAGTTCTTTTTCTAGAGTTTGGTTCTGCTCTTTCATTTAGGACATGTTTCTTTGTCTCCTCATTTTGGCACCTCCCTGTGAATCCGTGCACCAGGGTGTTGGTTTCTTTATATTAGCTAGGGCTGTTACATCTCCCAGACTTGGAAGAGTGGCCTGATGTAGTGAATGTTCTGTAGTGTCCGGTGGCACAGTCTGCCTGTTTACCTGAGCTGGGTATTCTATGTGCAGCCCCTGTGTGGGCTGTGAACCCCCTCCAGCTGAGCCTTTTGCTTGCTGTTAGCATGTCAAGGGAGAGATTTAGCTCCAAGCCAATAAGCTGCAAGGAATACAGGATCAGCTGTGCAGAGGCCCACCCTATGGAGCAGGACTTACTTCAGCAGGGCTCTGGTGCCTGCCGAGTACATCCCTTGAGTGTGTCGTTTGTGGAAATGGTTGGGTGGTGCTTAGACATGATCTGAAGCTGCTTATGGGGTGCAATAGCTTTTTACTGGGGCCTCCTGACATGAGCTACAAAGCAATGTGCAGATGGCTGCTACTTGTGCTGGGCTTGGAGGTGCCCAGGAAAAGCCAGGCTGTGAACCAAGGCCAGCTGTAACTAGTGCTGGGCCTGGGGTCACTTAGGGAGTGGTATAGGGCACACCAAGGCCAGATGGTGCTTGTTTGAGAGATTTAGGAAAGTCTAAGACATAAGCCAAGACAGGCCATTTGAATGGAAAAGCCATTGGGAAGAACTTGGGTGGGCCCGAAAGTTGGGTGGGGCCTCAGTGAATCACGGCGGGGGTGGGGGGTGGGGGTGAACAGTGTTAGCCAGGTTGATGGAGACTCAGATATGGTGCCTGTCTGCTGGCTCTGTGGGGAAAGGGCTCAGAAAAAGAACAGTGGCTTCTGCCAGGACTTCTGTCTGGGAGAAAACCACCCCTCCAGCCTTTACCATGAACAATTCAAACCCTCCCCCTATGTCCCTGGTGCCCTTCAAGCTGCTATCCCAGCATTGGAGCTGAGAGGGAGGGAGTCTGAGTAAGTCTATGCATGGGCCCTTTAAGAGGAACTGCCGTGGACTCCAGCAGTCCCCTGTCTCACTGAGCCACAATCCTGACGGTTTCTTTACAGCTAGAAGTTGTGGGACTTCCCTTCCTGGCACTGAAACCCTGGGCTGGAGGGGCCTCCTCCAGGTACCTCTGCAGCCGAGATATCCCTCCCAATTTTTATCTGCTTCACGGGGGTGTCTCCACCCCTTCTACCAATCTCTGTGTGGCTGCATCTTCAAATTCCTAGGTGTAGGGCTTCCACTCAGCCAGATTTTAGGCAGTTCTGAATGATGGCTGTTCTGTGGTTTAGTTGAGATTTTGATATAGTTGTGGAAGAATGCTAGTACTATGTCTACTTCTGCTTCCATCTTGACTGGAAGCTTGGGTCTTTGTCTGTTTTGTTCCAGGAGTTTGGTGTGTGATGGGAAGAGGGGCTTATTAACGCGTCTGCTGCAGGTCATGAAAAAGGAGCCGGCTGAGTCATCTTTCAGGTAGGTCTGGGGCAGGCGCCTGCCACTCAGGAGGGCCCCAGGAGCCAGGTGATTCTCCGGTGGTTAGAAATACCTCCTGTAGGCACCAGCTTCCACGCCAGCATCTGGTTACTGCGAGGGAAAGGGATTTGGTTGCCATTTCCCCTTGTAGCTTAGCAGGTTTGTGTTAACTTCTGCTGCATGCCAGCAGTGTATTTCAAGAATTGACCAAGCATTCACCAAGTACCTATTCTGTGCTGGGGCTGGAGAAGTGGAAAAGAAAGAGCAGATACAGTCCCTGCCCACATGGATTCCCTCGCATGTGGAAAGGCATGAAGCCAGGACCTGCCCCAGCAGCTGTGGGAACAAAGGAAAACCTTTTCCCCACCTGGGGCTGGTGGTGGGGCATGGACAGGGAGGTGGGCATGGACAGGGAGGTGGGCATGGACAGGGAGGGCTTCTCAGCGTTCCTTAGACCCATCTGAGTCCTGAAGGCTGTGGACAGGAGCGGTGGGTGAGGGGCCCTTCCATCAGGGCTGGTGTGAGCAGCTGTCAGGGAGCTCCGTGCCCAAGGTGCCCACCTGTCCCGTCCGCTCAGCAGGGGTAAACTCAGAGTCCATCAGGTGTCCTCACGCATCCCTGGTGCCTCTCTATCCCAGGTCCTCCTGTCCTTCTGAACGGACAAAGGCTAGAGTGGCATTTCCATGTTATGGGACTAGCCCTTCTCTGAGACACAGACCCCTTCCCGACAGAACCAAATAGAAGACTGTTCCTCACCATGCTGCCAGCTCCATGCCCAGTAGAAGCCTGATGCCTGATAGGTGTTCTGTAAATGTTGAATACGTGAAAAGTCGGCAAACACTCCCAGTGCCTTGGGGAATGGAGCATGGGCCCGAAGAGGGCGGTCTTAGCCACCTGGGCCAGGGGTCAACATTTGGGTCGCAGGTTTTGGCAAGCCCGGGCTGTGGAGAGTTTCCTCCGCGGGACCACCTCCTATGCGGACCAGATGTTCCTGCTGAAGCGAGGCCTCCTGGAGGTAATGGCCTGAGGAGCCAGGTGTCGGGTGTCCCCTTCTTCCCCAGCCCCGTGCCCTGCTTTCCGGTCCCGAGACCTAGAAAGCTGGGCAGGAGCAACTGCATCTATTTTAAAATGCCAGTGCAGATTGCCTTGGTATGTGACCTGAGTCTCCAGCTGTGGGTTCCTGTTGGGTGCTTCCCGGATGGTTGAAGGACTAGGGGTGGCGGCAGAGGAGCAAAAGTATCTGTGTGGAGTCACCCAGCAAAGCCTTTGACCCTGAGGACACGTTGCTGCTAACTAAAAGTTTATTTCCCTGTATTGAAAAACGGCCTTCAGAAAGAGCTTACAAAAGAGGGGGAGCAAACGGGCCAAAACTATAACTGTTTTTAAAAAATATATGTGAACTGACCTAGCAATTATTGTAAAATCCATATGGAAAATAATTGCTCCAAATCAGGGTAACTTCAGGAAAAAGAAAATGACAAATAGAAACAAACTGTCATAGAGAACCTTATCAAAGAGATAAGTTGGCTTTTTGTTCTTGATAAATTCATTTATTTTAGTGTACTAACCACAGGGTCAAAATGTGCCTCCTGTCCTTAAACCCCGTGCTTCATTTATTGGAGTGGCCTCAGGTGCTTGGGCAGTGGCCAATGTTAATCTGGAGACACCTCCCCTCGCTGGCAAGCCCTGGCCATCTTGGTGCCCAGAGAGCAGGTCACGGGCTTTAGTTCTGAGCCATGGGCAAGCCAGAGAGGTCATGGCTACATCCCCCACCCCACCCCCTCTTCCTGTGAGGTGTCGGGCCTGGTCCAGCCCTTGGAGCTGCCAGCATCCTCAGATGAGCATCTGGACAGGGAAAGCAGGTCTCGTTGACCTGGATGCTTCCTCAGAGCAGATGCTGTGTGGTCTGAGCCGCATGCCAGGCCCTGGCGGGAAGCCGGTAGCTTAGAAGGGTGCAGCCGGGGGTGGCAGCCACATCTGCCTGTTGGCCGGGGCTCAGCTGCCTTCCTGCCTTCACTCTCATCTCCCACCCCCAGCATATCTTGTACTGCATTGTGGATAGCGAGTGCAAGTCAAGGGATGTGCTGCAGAGTTACTTTGACCTCCTGGGGGAGCTAATGAAGTTCAACGTTGATGCATTCAAGAGATTCAATAAGTACATCAACACCGATGCAAAGGTAAGGCGAACACGGCTCTGTGGGTTTGCTCTGTTGTTCAGAAGTTACCTGGGAGCCTTGTCCTCACCAGTCCCTGGTCCTGGCTTTACATTGGAGACTGCCAGGGAGCAGGCATTCATTAGCATCTCTGTGCCGGGCATTAGCGTGTCAGCCGCTTGGGAGCAGGTGTGATGGTCGGAGCCAGGGGCTGTGAAAACGGCTCGGTGTGGTGAGTGCCATGATGAGCTCCAGACAGATGGGCTGGGCCTGGTGTGTTAGGCTCAGAGGGTGTGTCTGACAGAAACCCGGTTCAGACTAAGGAAGTAAAAATGAGGCGTTTGGCATTGTCTTCAGTGGAGAAAACACTGGACGTGTTGTCAAAAGATCTGGGGCAAACCCTCCTGGGGCAGGTCATCAGCTTCTCTGAGCCTCTGTCTTTTTACTGGCGACAGCTGGGCAGAGGTAGGTCAGTGCCCCTGCATGGACCCCATCACCGCAGGAGCCTGCCGTCTCCGTCTGAGCCTTGTCTCCCCACTAAGTTCCAGGTGTTCCTGAAGCAGATCAACAGCTCGCTGGTGGACTCCAACATGCTGGTGCGCTGCGTCACTTTGTCCCTGGACCGATTTGAAAATCAGGTGGACATGAAAGGTAGGAAAAGGCCAGACACCAATGCCGATTCGTCCAGTGTGGCCTTGCTGGTGTCAGACAGGAGAGGCTGGAAGAAGCCCCACCAAACTCTCCTGTGGCTGGGGTCAAGGTGGTGGCACTCCGGGTGGTTTTCTTTGTTGCTTTTACTTTTCTCTGTGGCTCATGCTTCCTTACTGAGCATGTACTACATATTCATAAGGTGAAAGACCGTTGCTGCCACCAGCATGCAAAAAAACATTCTTCCTCTTCTGGGCTGTGATTGCCTGGGATGAGGAGGACCCAGGAGGCGACACCAGGGGAAGGCCTCAGGGAGAGGTGATCCCGGAGCACACTGAAGGGAGAGGTGCTGAGCTCCCGTGTGGCCTCTAGTGAGACCACAGGCTTCCTGGGTGGCAGGAGAGCAGGAGACGTGTTTCTGCGGCAGTCAACCTTTCCGGCCGTTGTCTTGACAGTAGGGACTTGCAGCTTCAGGGTCGGGTCCCATAGGGCTTGACGAGTGGCTTAGGTGGCAGCCCTGGCCTGAGCCACGAACCAGCTTCCAGGCCTGCTGCTCACGCCTCTGCCTCTCCGTCCCCAGTTGCCGAGGTCCTTTCCGAGTGCCGCCTGCTTGCCTACATATCCCAGGTGCCCACACAGATGTCCTTCCTCTTCCGCCTCATCAACATCATCCACGTGCAGACGCTGACGCAGGTGAGCTGCCCGCGGGCTTGCAGTGCAGGAAGAGTCCGAGCCGACAGGTGCTGTCTCCCACGGGAGTGCATCTCCCCGAGGCCATCTCTCGGCTCCTCCCAGTGATTCTGAGGATTTTTCCCAATAAGGAGTCTGACGGTGGTGGTATAGTGGTGGGCATAGCTGCCTTCCAGTAAGGAATCTGCCCCATTTTACAGATGAGGCCTGCGGAGGGAGCAGATCCCTGAGATCACAGACGAGTTGGGGAGGAGTCAGCATAGACAACTCAGTTCTGACTCCCAGTTCAGTGCTCACCCCACCCCTCCTGCTGTGCAGGCTTTGGGCTTGGACCTGAAGTTCACTCCCGCCTCCCTCGGCTGTGCAGTTATCCCTCTCTGGGCTTCATGCCCCTCTTCTCTTAAATGGGGTAATACTAACACCTCTCAGTGGATCTTTATTCCTTCATCTGACAAATGTTCATTGAGGTGAGGCCCTGGGCTCAGGATGCAAAGTGAACAAATCAGGCCTAGACTTTTCCCTCCCGGTGCTGTCTGGTGCCAAATGAAAGTTAGAAAAGGAAATGCTGCATCGAAGGCGTATGCCCAGCCCTCCCCAGGGATTGAAGCTTCTGGAAGGAGCAGTGTCTGAGCTGATTCAGGAGACCAGGTAGACTCTAACTCACATGTGTCAAACACAAGGCCCGCGGGCCAAATCCGTCCCGCCAGGCCTTGCAATGTGGCCCGCACCGCGCTGTCATCACTGCACTCCGCTGCGTTTCCATCACAATGACAGTTTATGACTGTTCAGTAAACCATTCGGCCCGCGATTTAGGCTGGATTTTAGATTTTGGCCCCTTCTCTGATTGAGTTCGACACCCCTACTCTAGACAGGAGGCGGATGGCGTTCCCTTCAGAGGGCGGGAGTGGGGGCCAGGGGCCAGGAAGGTGCTCGGGGCGGGATGCTGGCTTCACTCCCTGCCACAGCCCTCCCTCAGGCTTATGCGGGGGCAGCTCAGTGTGTGGTCTCAGGGCTCGGCAGGGACTGCCTTGGCCCCCCCCTTCCCCGGCCAGTGGCGACCCAGGTCCACCGGGGGCTCTGGGGCCTTGCAGGAGAACGTCAGTTGCCTCAACACCAGCCTGGTGATCCTGATGCTGGCCCGACGGAAAGAGCGGCTGCCCCTGTACCTGCGGCTGCTGCAGCGGATGGAGCACAGCAAGAAGTACCCCGGCTTCCTGCTCAACAACTTCCACAACCTGCTGCGCTTCTGGCAGCAGCACTACCTGCACAAGGACAAGGACAGCACCTGCCTGGAGAACGTGAGTGCCCACCCCGCTGACTGGCGGGTGGGCTGCGGGCACGCAGACCCGGGCCCCTCGGAGGGCTGTTTGGGGTGTGTGGTCCCTGCCTGGGCCTGGAGGGCAGCTCTTTGTCCCCTTACCATGGCCCTCCCCACGGGGAGCTGGGCTCGACCTGGGTCCTCCAGGCCCCTCCCAGCCCTTCTCTCTCTGCCCAGAGCTCCTGCATCAGCTTCTCATACTGGAAAGAGACCGTGTCCATCCTGTTGAACCCAGACCGCCAATCGCCCTCTGCCCTCGTCAGCTACATCGAGGAGCCGTACATGGACATAGACAGAGACTTCGCCGAGGAGTGACCTTGGGCCAGGCAGTCCCTGGGAGGCTGCTGGGCCAGGGCCAGTGCGGGTGAGCGTGGGTCTGAGTGCCATACGCCCTGCCATGTCTCCACCCCTTCCCTGCCTTCCTGCTGCTCTCTGCCTGCCCAGGTCTTCAGACACAGGCTTCGTGGGAGTGTCTAGAAGCCCTTAGGTCTGAGGGCCCAAGGTCATTGGGGAACCTTAGTACCTTCGAGATCCCCACGCTGAGGACAGGGGCGCTGTGCCCTCCCTTCCTTCAGAAACTTGGGGCCCTGGCCCCCCAGAGATAAGGGGACTTTTAAAAATAGCTCTGTCTGAGCTCCTGCCTAATCTCTTGGCCATCAGTCCTGGGTTGGGGAGGGAGATATGGGGACCCTCCCCCAATCTGTGAGCCAAGCTTGCCCTGGCCTTTGGACCCAGGCAAGGCTTCTGAGCCCTGGGCAGGGGTGGGGGAAACAGAACGCTACCGTCCCCCAAGCCTGCCCACCGTCCCTCCCTCCTCTTCCTTCCGTCCCTCCGGTTCTGTGTGCTCAGTGGCCGCTGTGTTCGTCCCAAGGGGCGCCCCAGAAGTGAGGGGCCTTTCCCTTCCATCCTTGGGGCATGGGGTGGCTGTGTCCTGCCCCCTATGCCCCAAGGCAGCATCTCCTACCTGAGCCCGGACACACAGGAGCCTGCCTGGGAGCACAGCCTTGGCCCCTCCTTGTGTTGCCAATTTATTAACAACGAATAAACCGATTAAATGGAGACTATTAAAGAACTTTATTTTAAATGACTGATGTGGACCTGACTTTTGTCTGTGGGACCATGTGCTCCCCTCCCCTCCCCTCCTGAGTCCGGCTGGAGCTGCAGATGTGGCATCCATTCAGGGTTCAGCAGATGGAGAGGCGAGGGTCAGGCAGCAGGCTTCACTCCTTGTGCTGAGGGGGACAGGGTGGCCCAGTGAATTACGCCACCTGCCCCCCCCCCCCTACAGAGGCAGGGGGTGCCCCAGGCTGCCCCTACCTTAGGGCCCAGGGCATTGCGAGTCCGTGCCCGCAGCTTGTTGGCCTGGGTTTCTGCCATGTCCGCCCGCTCCTCCGCATCGTCCAGTTCATGCTGGGCCTTGCGGTACTTGGCCAGGTTAGTGTTTGCCTGTTGCTCCTGGGGGCACAGGCAGGCTGGGTCACCCTTCGGTAACCGAGATGGTCATTCTGGTCCCACCTCATCGCAGAAAGCACCCGGCTTCTCTGTCTTCCACTGTGCTCCCACCACTACCCACGTTCCTCTGCCCCCTCCCCAGCACCACAGCAGACCTGGGCCAGAAGGGGAAAGCACATGGGGTCTCCTCAGAGACAGCGCTGGGTCTCACCTCTTGTTGTCGGAGCTGTGAGATACACTCTTCCCACTGGGACAGGGGGGTCACGAGCTAGGTCCCTGCCTGCCTCCTCACAGAGCCAGCACCGGGAAGCCATGTCCCAGAGGTGGAGGGGGGCTGACAGCTGCTGGCTTCTTGCCTGGGACCAGCTTTGAAGTTGGGTTCCACAGGCATCCTGACCTGGCAGTGCCCGACCCCCGGGGTCCAGGCCCCGTACACTCACCGCCTCCTCAAACTGCCGTTTGTAGCTCTTGACTTTGCTCTGCAGCTTTTCCACCAGGTCCTGCATGCGAGCCAGGTTCTTCCTGTCCTCCTCGGCCTGCACAGGTAGAGGGGACTCGGGTCTTGCCAGGACCAGACCAGCTTTTGGGCCGCCCCCCTTTCGAGGTGGACCTGTCACCCACCTGGTACGCGAGCTCCTTGACCCGGCGCTCGTGTTTCCGCACCCCCTTGAGGGCCTCGGCATGCTTCTTTTGCTCGGCGTCGAGCTCCGCCTCCAGCTCCCGCACCTGCGAGCAGCAGGGGACGGTTCTGACGCCCTGAGCCTGCCCTCGCACTGCCCGCTGTGCGGGGGAAGGGCTGGGACCACCACACGCACCTTGGCCTCCAGCTTCTGCACCTGCTTCTTCCCACCTCGGAGGGCCGCTTGTTCTGCCTCCTCGAGCCGTGCCTGTAGCTCCCGCACCGTCTGCTCCAGGGTCTTCTTCATCCGTTCCAGGTGTGCGCTTGTGTCCTGCTCCTTCTTCAGCTCCTCGGCCATCATGGCCGCCTGTCCAGGGTGAGATGGACGGTCGGGGTGACTGGCCCCAGTGGAGGTCCCTTGGGGCTCTGTCCCCTCCACAGCTCCAGCCCAGCCTCACATCAGTGATGGCCTTTTTGGCCTTCTCCTCAGCTTCCCGCCTCTCCTGGGCGGCCTCCTCCACCTCTCCGCTCAGCTGGGCCAAGTCCACCTCCAGTTTCTTCTTCTGGTTCAAGAGGCCCGTGTTCTGGGGGGAAGCAGACCCTCAGTCAGCCAGGGGGCAGCCACCCTGCGCACCTCACCCTCGCTGGGAGCTGCGCCCTCACCTGTGAGTGCAGGAGGTTGAGGCGCTCGGTGGCCTCCAGCAGCTCCTGTTCTGCCAGCCGCCGGCTGCGCTCTCCCTGCTCCAGGGCAGCCCGCAGCTCCTCCAGCTCCGTCGCCAGCAGCACACTCCGCCGCTCCAGGGCCTGTGCCTGCTCCCGGAGCTCGGCTGCCAGCCGCTGCTCCTCGTCCCTCCCTGCCTGCTCCTCCTTGAGTTGGGCCTGTAGCAGCCGGGTGGCTGCCTGGGCCTCCGTGGCCTGGCGGGTGGCATGGCCCAGCTGCAGCTCCAGGTCATTGAGGTCACCCTCCATCTTCTTCTTGAGCCGCAGCGCCTCATTGCGGGCCCGGGTCTCGGCATCCAGGGAGGCCTGCAGGGACTCCACTGCCCGCTGGTGGTTGCGTCTGTGGGAGGGAGAAGACTGTGAGTGTCTTGGCCACCGAAAGCAGGTAGGCACAGCACCACAGCTGCTCTTAAAAATGCCCAAGGAACGCTGGAGACTGAACCCATTTTGGGAGGAACATCCCTCCCTGATTTCAAGCCCCTGACTTCCTGTTCCCCATCAGAGCAAGTTCACAGACGAGAGTGAGGCTCTGGAGCAGACAGATGTTGGCTGAACTCTGGCTCCACCCTGTGTCCCTTGAGCAAATCCTCTAGGCTCTCTGGCGTTCACCCCCAGACTGGACAGTAATCCTGACCTGAGGAAGCTTTGTGCGAGGCACAAACCAGTGTCCCTGCCAGTCAGTGCACAGCAGGGGCTCAGCAAGCACCGCTTTCCTTCCTTTCCCACGCAGGTGGCTGGGCTGGGCGGGGCCCTGGGCCCTGAGGACAGGTGGGCCCTGGGAGTGGTGGTGGGTAGGGATGGCCTGGCCCCCATACCTCAGGTTAGTGCACTCCTCGTCCTTCTCTGCCAGCTTCCGGTCCACCTCCGCCTTGACCTGGGACAGCTCCAGCTGGATCCGCAGGGTCTTGGTCTCCTCCAGCTCCAGAGCCCCCTGGGGTGCAGAGTAGGCAGTGTGGGCCCTGGGACCCTGAGTGTCTTAAGGGAGGAGGGGGGCCAGGGAAGCAGCGAGTCTGTATCCACCCCACCCGTCAGCCTCTGACCTCAGCCTCCTCCAGTGCGGCCTGGAGCTCACTCTTCTCCCCTTCCAGTGCCTTCTTGGCTTTCTCCAGTTCCTGGATGCTCTTCCCGCTGAGGCTGGCATGGTCTGTGAGCTCACTGATCTCCTCTGCAGAGTGGGCAGGGCAGAGGAGAAGGCTGGACTAGTCCTGAGGCCAGTGGGCCCTCTCAAAGCTCATGCTCCAACCCAGGCTGCATCCTTCACCCCTAGGTCCAGGGTGACTACTCCCGGGACTCCCAACGACCCCGGAGCAGTTCGCTGGCCCCCGGCTGGGTCCTACCCTGCAGGTTCTTGTTCTCCCGCTTGAAGGCCTCCAGGGCCTCCAGCGCCTCCTCGTGGCTGTGCCGCAGCCGGAAGAGCTCGGTGCCCAGGCTGCGAGCCTCCCTCTGGGCCGCCTCCAGCTCCCGCTGTGTCTCCTCCTCCTGCCTCCGCCGCTCCTCCAGGGCCCGCTCCAGGTGCCGCTGCTTCTTGTCCAGGGCGGCAGCTGCTGAGGTTGCCCGCTCCAGTTCTAGGGTCACATCCTCTGACTCCGTCTGCAGCCGCAGCTTGGCCTTCTCCAGTGATGAGCACTTGGCGTGCGCGGCCTCTACACCCTCCTCTGCCTCCTGCAGCCTCAGGGCCAGCTTCTTTCTAGGCCCCGGAGCAGACGGAATGGACTGTGTAGCAGAGCGAGGCTGGCAGAAGCACGGCCCCCCCGTCTCACCTCTCCCCATCAGGGCTCAGGCACAGGTCACCCTGTGGTGATGGCCTGGCCAGCAAGGCACTTACTTGGCCTCCTCCAGCTCCTCGGTCCTCTGAATGGCATCTGCCTCGTACTTGCTCCTCCACTGGGCCACCTCCGCGTTGGCCTTGGACAGCAGCCGCTGCAGCTCGGCCTGGGCCTCGGCCTCCTCCTCGTGCTGCTCCCGCAGGAGGTCGCAGTCGTGCCGCAGCGCCTGCACGGCGTGGGCCAGCGCGCTCTTGGCCTGCAGGGACCGGAGGCCTCAGTGTCGGGCCTGGCCAAAGGCCCTGCTGCCCACACTGCCCTCTGCCGGCCCGTGGCCGAGCCCACCTTGCTCTCCTCCTCCAGCTGCCTCCGCAGTTCCTCCAGGCTCTGGGCGGCCGAGGCCTTCCCGCGGCTCAGCTGGCTGATCAGAGACTCCTTCTCCTCGAGCAGGCGGCTCAGCTCCCCTGCAGCCACGGGGTGAGCGCGTCAGGCTGGCAAGGGGCAGCCCCGAGGCCCTGGGAGGGCCCGCCTGAGCCCCTGGCCTCACCGTTCTCCGTCTGCAGCCGTCCACGCTGGGTGCTCGTGTCCGCCAGCTGCCGTTGCAGCTCCTCCACCTTGATCTTGGCCTCACTCAGCTGATCCTCGTAGGTCCGACACAACTTCTCTGCACTGGCCTGAGGTCCAAGGTCAGAGGTCAGGACACGTTTGTGAATTAGAGGGCAGGATCTATGACTGCCAATCAGACAGGGACCTGGAATGGGGAACTAGAAGGCTAGACCCGGGCCCAGGAATCAGAGAGAGAACAGGGCCCCAAGTTCAGAGAGATTCCAATATTGCTTAAAAGATGGACATCAGGAGTGAGAAGGGAGCTCAGTTACAGCATCTTCCCAATATACCAAGGTTGTGGGTTTGATTCCTGGTCAGGTCATACATGAGAATAATGCATAGATAAGTGGAACAATAAGTCAATGTTTCTCTTTCTCCCCACCCCCTTCCTCTAAAAATTAATATGTAGATAAAAAAATTTTTTTAAGTGAGAAGACTGGACTAGTCCTGAGGCCAGTGGGTCAGAATGAAGTTGGGATACTAGAGTCTGAAGTCAGGTAAGGACAGAGTCCAGCTGTCAGGATTAGGTGGTACAAAGGTCAAAGGTCAAGGTTGGTTGAATTCAGGACAGTTTGCAGGTCAAGGGCTAAGTTAGAATTGGACGTTGGGTCAAAAACAACCTGGAGTCAAGACACAGTTTCAGAGTCAGAGTTTGAGGTCAGGACTATAGTGGGATTGGGGTTAGATGCCAGGTGAATGGGTCAGGGGTCAGATCTATTGGGGTCAAGATTAGTGTGGGGTCAATATTGGCATGGGGTGGTCAGGGTTCAGCAATTGGAGGCTGAATTGGCCTATGGTCAGGAGAGCTATGGGATCAGCGCTTAGGGGGTCAGGTGAGGATGCTGAAGGGGGGTCAGAGGTCAGGATCAGGAAGGAGGCAGATACCTTGCCACGGGCCAGAGTCTCCACACTGGTGCCCAGGTCATCCACCTCCATGCGGAGCTCACTCTTTTCCTTCTCCAGCTTCTGTCGCACCCGCTGCAGACTGTCCACCTGCTCTCCCAGCTCGGCGGCGCTGTCCGCCTGCTTGCGCCGCAGGGCAGCCACCGTGGCCTCCTGCCGCAGTGCGGCCTCCTCCAGCTCCCGCCGCAGCCGCCCCAGCTCCGCCTCGCGCTTGCGGCTTCCCTCCCGCTGCCCAGCAGACGCACCGCCTGCCTCCTCCAGCCGCTCGCTCAGCTCCTCCAACTCCCGGGCGGCCTCCGCCCGCTGCTTCTCCACACGGGCGCGGGCCGCCCGCTCTGCCTCCAGCTCCTCTTCCAGCTCCTCTGCCCGAGCCTGGGGACAGCGGGAGGCAGGTCACCTCTGTAAGCCTACCACACGGTCCCATCCAGCCCACCCCCACACACCTGCAGCTCCTTGATCTTCTTCTGCAGCTGCGCTCCAAGGAGCTGCTCGTCCTCCACCCTCAGGTTCAGCTGACTCAACTCGGAGTCCTTCCTGGAGGCCACAGCAGAGCATGAGGCTGCCCTGGTCCTAATTTCCACCAACCTGCCTGGGCCTCCACCCCCACCACCTCCCCCCGTCCAGCACACACCCTGACCCAGAGCAGCCCTGGCCTCAGAGCCTGGTCAGGGTCCTTGGTCCAGGGAAGACAGGACACTGCCACTAGCACCTAGTAACCCCCATCTCAACCCTCCACGTTCAACCTCTGCGGTCATGGAACCGGCTAGAGTCCAGGAGTGAGAAGCCGTGTAGGCTCAGGAGGCCCCTGCTGGCCGGGGCTTGGTCTGCCGCCCACCCCAGGCCTACTTTTTAAGCTTCTCCTCCAGCTGCTGCTTATCCTGGGCAGCATCTGTCACCGACTCCTGTGTCAGCTTCAGGTCGCCCTCGAGCTTGCGCTTGGCCCGCTCTGTGTCCATGCGCAGCTTCCTCTCCTGCTCCAGGGAGCTCTCCAGCTGTGGGGGGGAGCGGGGGGCACAGACATGCTCAGCCGCCAGGCCCAGCCAGGCACCCTCCCAGCTCCCCGGCACCACCACACGGCCCTCTGCTGTGCCGACTCACGTCTTCCACCTGCTGCTCCAGCCGGAGCTTGGCCTTGGCCAGCGCGCCCACACGGTCCTCCTCAGCCTGCAGGTCACCCAGGACCTGCTGGTGGGCCTCCTGCAGCGCCTTCTTCTCCTTGGTCAGCCGAGCCACCGACTCGTCCAGCGCTGCCATCTCCTCCGTCAGGTTCTTCACCTGGGCCAGGGCCAGGGCCAGGGCCAGGGTCAAGATGGGGATGTCCCTCCCACACTCCAGTCTGAGTAGCCACCCCTTCCAGTGAGCAAGCCACTTCACTCTGAGCCTCACTTTTACATCCTCCCTGAAAGAATGCCACGGAGCTGTTGGGAAGGTTCAAGGACAGGCGGTATGCGAAGGCACCCGGGGGTACAGGGCTGGGAGCTGGGGTTCCTGTGCTCGGGGAGCTGGCAGTCCAGGATGGATGATAACTGCTGGCATTTGCAGAGCGCCCGCTCATGCCGGGCCCTGTGGTGAGTGCTAGCAGACTAGTTACACAGTGAGTCCTCGCCCACCCTAATGGGGTGAGCACTGCCACCTGCCCAGGGCTCCACAGCAGGGCCTGGCAGAGCCAGGAGGGGACCTGCGGCTGCTGCCCACCTTGTTCTCAGTGGCTTGCTTCTCCTTCTCGGCTTTGGCCAGAGTCAGCTCCAGGTCGTCGATGTCCTTCTTGAGCTCCGTGCACTCGTCCTCCAGTTTGCGGCGGCGGGCGGCCAAGTCGGCGTTCAGCTCCTCCTCCTCCTCCAGCCGCTCGCTCAGCTCCTTCACCTTCCCCTCCAGCTGCACCTTGGACTTGATGAGCAAGTGGCAGCGCTCCTCAGCGTCTGCCAAGTTGTCCTGCTCCTAGAGGGAACGGGACGGGGCGGGTGGAGGCAGGGCCAGGTAAGCCAGCAGGGGGGCGCCAGGCTGGGGCCCGGAGAAGGAAGTTCATTTGTCCCTGCGAAGGTTGGACTCCGCTGGGTCCTGGGACCACGGAACGGATGGCCTGCTCTCGGCCCTGAAGGGGCTCGGTGGGATGAGGGCTTAGGTGGAGGGATGGGCAGGGGCAGAGTGGCACCTGCGAGAGGGGACTGTTAGGCTGGGGACAACCCAGAGTGAGGCCCAAAGGAGGCCTTCTGTGGAGGTGGGTGGGAGCAGCGGACATGCGAGCCCTGCACAGCTGCGGAGCGGCTCTGGTGTTCTCCCACCTCACGGCTTCCTCGCTGTGCCAGGCTGCCTCGCGTTATCCCGCACCAGCAGGTGAGTTTGGTGACCACAGGCCCATCTGTCTTCCCCTCTGTGTATCTCTAGAGCCAGCCTGCCACTCAGGGGACATGAAGGATTTGCTGAAGGACAGAGTGGCTCTGTGGGCGTGGGGAGATTCTGGACCCTCGATCCCTGCCATCCGGTTATTACTGTTACCTGCGACCTGGGTTCCCGTGGGCCCTTTGCCAGAGAAGGGAGCACAGGTCTGTCTGTTTCAGGGACAGCAAGGAGGGCAGAGCTGGGGAAATGGGGCTCCACTGCGGCTACAGCGGGAAACCGAAGTGACGTGGGGGTGGGAGCACAGGAACGTGGACAGACAGCCTGTGGCTGGGCAGGCTGGGAATGGAGGCGGGGAGCATGGACATGAGCCCACAGCCTCACCTTGTGGCCCGTCTGGAGAAGGTAGAGCAGGGAAGGCTTGGGGCGTTTCCTTGGAGCAGTCTGGGGTTCACTGTGGCATCAGGTCCCCGAGGGAAACCCTGTCTCTGTCCCGCCCCCCACTCACTGCCTGCAGCTGCAGGGCCAGGTCGTTCTTCTCCTGAGTGATGCTGACGTGCGTCTCCTCCAGCTCCTGGCACTTGGCCTCGGCGGTGGCCAGTGCCCCTCGCAGCCCCCGGAGCTCCGCCCGCAGGGCCGCCAGCTCCTCCTCGGCCTGTGCCGAGCGCAGCAGCGGCTTCATCTTAAAAAAGAGCTTCATCCATGACCAGTTCTTAACGGCATTGAAAGCACGAATGTTCCACTGGATGGTGAACAGGGCATCCCTGGGGAGGGGCAGTGACAGGTGATCACTCGTAGTGACAGCCCTGTGTTCCCTGAGCACCTCCCCGGGGGCAGGCCTTCAGGGTGTGATCTCTCTCAATCTCCCCTAACACCCTCTCACGGAGGTCCTAACGCCTCTGCTTTGTAGGCGAGATTGAAGGAGAGGCCAAGGTCATGCAGGTGCCACAGGGAGGGGACTCACAGCCTTGAATGTCCTAGTGGCCCTTGCAAATGTTCTAAAGACACCAGGAGTGGTAAAGCCACCTGCCTCTGGGATCAGACCCCCTGGACTCACATCTCCACCTCCTGCCTTCCATCCCGCCCCCTCCCACTGGCCAGCTGTAACAGGATGGCTCTGAATGGAGATAATCACACATACATGTCTGAGGACCATTTAAGCAAGATAATGCACATACATTCTCCTGCCTGGCATTTAAGTCAACCACTGTGGGCCAGGCTCTGGGATGGCCTGGAGTGGAGAAATAGGTGTTCTTACCCCAACTTTTTAAAAAAATATATATATAATTTATTGATTTTACACAGAGAGGAATTGAGAGGGACAGAGAGTTAGAAACGTTGATGAGAAACACCGACCAGCTGCCTCTTGCACCCCCCCCCCCCCCCCCCACTGGGGATGTGCCCGCAACCAAGGTACATGCCCTTGGCCGGAATCGAACCCGGGACCTTTCAGTCCACAAGCTGACGCTCTATCCACTGAGCCAAACCAGTCCCGGCTTACCCCAACTTTTGAGGTGACAAAATGGAAGCTGGGAGTTGAGGGGCACAAAACAGAACCTTACCCCTCAGAGACACCCTCACTCCCACAGGGGTAATCTGACCCACAAGAGAGTATGACTGGGTGCTCACAGGGGCCAGGCATGATGCAAAGTCTGGTCCACACAAACCCTCATTCACTTCCCTGAGTGGACAGCAGTCCCACCAAAACCCGGTCCCCCATTTCCGTCCACACCCACCTGCCTCCAAGCAGGCGCTGGTACTCAAGGCGCATGAGGCGGCCTCGGCCCCGTGCCTGCAGCAACGTCAAGACCTTGGCCAGACGCTGGTCACGCAGCTCCTCCAGGATGCCCAGGAGCCCGGCCTTGAAAAACACCTGGTGGGTGGGGCCACCGCTGTAACCTCCACCCACCAGCACGTCCCCTGTCCAGTGTGACCACCCACACCTGAGCCAGCCCTAGCTCCTTTGTGCCCTGACCTTGGTGTGGCCAAACTGGTATTGGGTGTGGTCGATGTCCAGGGAGCCCAGCAGCTTCTCTGTGGCCTTCCTGCTGTCCATGAAGGTGTCATCAGGGATGGCACCGGGGTTCAGGATGCGGTACCTGGGACAGCAGGGAGAGCTGGTGAGGAGAGGCTGGTGAGGAATGTTCCTGGAACTCTCCAGAACTGGAGCTGAGTTCCAGTGGGACACATACTGAACCAGTTGGCGGGAGGTGTGGGGGGGGGTTGGGGAGGGCAGTGTGAGACTAGGAGGCAGGTGTGTTCTGCTGAGAAATCCCAGTCCCATTTAAATGCAACGAGTAGAGAGGTTCTCTAAGGGGCTGCAGTGCTTACAAAGGCAGGCAGCACTTTTGTCATTGTTTAAGAGGGTGAGATGGTGGAGCACATCTCAAACTGAAGGAACATTTGGGAGAGAATTCTAGCCAGTACGCGGACACATTGGCATGTGTGCACAGGGTCGTGCAAGTCAGGTTGGCTTGGCCACACTGTGAAGGCAAAACCTGAGAAACACAACAGCCTGCACCAGGGGGCTGACGAGGAGAGCAGGCACTGGACGATGGGGTATTTCCAGCGTGACGCTGTGCATTGCTACATATTCATCCACAGCCACAGGATGTAAGGCGCTGAGAGACCCGAGTGCCAACTGTGTTCTCGGGTGGTAATGATGGGTCCGTGCAGGGTCAGCAGGGGTAGGCGATGTTTAAACGGGAGGCTGTGTGTGCGCGGGAATAGGGAGAACATGGGAAATTCCTGTGCCTGCTTCTTAATTTCGCTGTGAACCTAAAACTGGTCTAAAAAATAAAGTCATAATTAAAATTAAAAAAGGATGATGATACAGACTTATTCCTATCGATAAGGAACAATCTCCAAGACATATGGTTAGCCTGATCGGCGTGGCTCAGTAGTTGAGCATCAACCTATGAAGCAGGAGGTCATGGTTCGATTCCCGGTCAAGGGTCAGGCACAGGCCAGGGCTGCGGGCTTGATCCCCATTGGGGGTGTGCAGGAGGCAGCCATGAATTACTCTCATCTCCCTTCCTCTTTGAAATCAACAAATATATACATATATTTTTAAAGACATGGTTACATGAAAAAACAAACCCACAGACTCGTTTATGTGCACATGCACATGTCCATGTACAATATCTGTACATACACACTTCAGCATGGATGGCCAGTTACTTCTGGAAGGGGAGGGAACTTGGGCTGTTAGTGGCTCAACAAAACCAAACTGAGGAAGGGAGGGGAGGAGCTAAGAGCGCTGACTGGGTGCTCACGAGGGGCCAGGCATCATGCAGAGTCTGGTCCACACAAATCCCCATTCACTTCCCAAATCTGCATCTAGCTCTGGCTGCCCCATCGCCAGACTAAAATCCCGTCTCACCCAGGACTTCCCTCTACGACATCGCTGGAGACATTTCAAATTTATGTGTTCAAAGTAGGGACCAATCCACTAACTCCCCCCCAAAAAAACGCTGTTTTGGTTTCTCAGCCAGTTTCTACAACCAGTTTCCCAGTTGCTCAAGTCAAACATCTGGAAGTCACCACCCTTGTCTTTTCTTTCTGGTTCTGTTTCCAAGGCCTCAGCCACCACCTCTCCCGCTGGACTCCTGCCCAGCCACCTCCCCAATCACACTGCATCCTTCCCAGGGACAGGAATTGTCTGTCTGACTCTAAAATGTGTGCCCTTCTCATCCCCTCAGAGGCTGGTCTCCACCAGGGTGGAGGGCAAGGGGAAGGTGTCTGTGTAGGGGGAGCTGGGGAGGAGCTGGGGCTGGGACAGGAAGACCCCCACCGTTGCCGGAAGTCAGCGTAGAGCAGCCTATTGGGGAATCCTTGGCGGCAGATCCGGATCCCCTCCAGGACCCCATTGCAGCGCAGCTGGTGCAGCACCAAGAAGGAATCCATGACCCCTAGACGGGTGGGAGTTAAAGGAAAAGGTCAGAGGCCTCGTGCCTCAAAGAACGACCAACAGTCCATAAGGGGGGCTCTGCGGAAGGGAAGGTCCAGCTCCCAGGCCACCTGGGCCCCTCCCGCCCATGCCCCCCCACTACCACGCACCTAGCCCAGGGGGCCTACCTGGGGTCTTGTTCTCATTGGGGACGATGCAGCGGACAAAGTGAGGCTGTGTGGCCCGCAGGTTGGTCATCAGCTTGTTGAGGTTCTCCTGGGGGTGGGAGAGGGGAGAAGGCACACAGGGCAGGGAGGCAGAATTGGAAAGGGCAGTGGGTCAGCCCGCTAAGGGCTGGGGGAGGGCCCCTCCGCGGGCCTCCACACGCCTGCCACTCTTTCCTGTGACCCTCTGCCCTCTCTGCTCGACTGGGTCCCATCACCACAGTCTTCACTCCCCACCCAGGCCCCCGCAGGCCCCCACTCCACCCCCAAACCCTGCCCAGGCAGCGTGGGGACGGGAAGCAGCACAGACTTGCTGTGATGTTCACGTGGAGAGGAGTTAAACATCACTGCAAGTCTTAACGGCCGCCCGCCCAGGGTGCAGGGAGCGAGAAAGGGCTGGAGGCCAAGGGGTGAGGCCTGCACAGGCCCAGGCAGGGCCTCACCTTGTGCAGCTGGGACACCGTCTGGAATGATGCTGCCTTTTTACGCTTCTCTTTCACACCAGACTTCGGGGGCTCGGCTAGGAGAGAGATGGGGACCAGTCACTCCAGGGACGTCACTCCGAGTCCCCACACAATGGCGATCCAGTCCCCTGGCACGTACTGGAGCAGGAGCCTGCATAGTTCTCATAGAGGGTGGCCAAGAGCTTATTCTGCGACTTTTGGAAGATGGGGACCACGGTCTCATTCAGGGGGTCCTTGTTTTTCTCCAGCCAGCCCACGATGCTGTAAGGCACCTGGCGGAGACCAGATGGGTGCTGAGCCAAGGCGGAGAAACCCAGAGGGGGGAGAGTCGTCAAGAGCCGGGGTTCCGATAGGCACCTACCACACCCGCATAGTGGACCACCTCAAAGTGGGCCTGGTATTTGCGCTTCTTGTCGGGCTTCGGCTGCTGGAAATTGGGCGACTTCCCGGCATGGTTATCGTAGAGCTTGGCCCGGAAGCTGGCGTCGGAGGCCTTGGGGAACATGCACTCCTCCTCCAGGATGGACAGGATGCCGAGCGGCTGGGGACAGGGCACCAGATTGAAGGCCCTCCGTTGTGCCAGCCCATCCAGGAGCCCCTCCTTCAGGAGCCTTCTCGATGCCCCACCGCAGCCACCTGCTCAGAGGGCAGAGACCATCCTGCACCCGGGAGCCCTGTCTTCTAAGACAGAAAAGACACTTTGGCTCCATCCCTCTTCTGCACAATTCGCAGCTCTGAGTTGTCCTCTTTGCTCATGCGAACTGTGCAAACTCAAACTGGCATCTTTGTACCCATCAGCCCCCAGCTCCACGATCTCTCACACACTCACAGGACCAGTAAAAAAAAAGCAGCCAAGTTCAAATTTTGGCTTCCTGGGTTCAAACTTACTAGCTATGGGGCCCTTGAGCCTCCCTAAGCCTGTCTCCTAACCTGAACGCATAATATGTGCTGCTTTAACAGTGAAAAATGAACAAAAAACTGTCAACCACCTAAATAAACTTCCAACAGGAGATTCCAGAAAGGCATTGTCTGAAAACCACCTGCTGCATGAACTACTGCACCTTCTTCAGTGTTCAAAGTTCAAACCCATTTTAGATAAAAAGAGGAGATCTGAGTGTCTGAGTGAACACCGATGCCCAGGAAACTAACCAGAGGGCCAGGATTCTGGTTGTGTGGGGGTGAGGAAACATTATTTCCCCTTTACTTTCCACTTTCCTGATTTTTCTTTCTCCCATTCTTTGCACAATGAGGAGATTTATATAATGTTTCACAATAAATAAACAAAAAGCAAACATCCTGCTCCTCTCCCAGGGCAGTTCTGAGGGTCCAGTAAACTTGTGGCTGCAGTAGGACCTTGTGAACTTCAAAACTGTGTCCACCCATGAGGGGCTGTTGTCAGCAGTGCTGGGATGCACACTCACATCGCTCACACAGTCACCAACATGCTTTTACAGTCTCCAGCACACCTATCACACATATGCACGCATTCCCATTCATGGCATGTACAGAGATATATTCAGAGCTATACACAGGCCCAAGCTCACTTCAACGCACAGTCACACACTCACATGCACACTTGCACATGCTCACTCACTCAATGCACCCACACCCTCCCGCTGCAGTGAGCTTGCGCCAGGCTCCACCTTCTCGATGAGGTCGATGCAGGGCTGCAGGTCCAGGCCGAAGTCGATGAAGACCCAGTCAATGCCCTCCCGCTTGTACTCCTCCTGCTCCAGCACAAACATGTGCTGGTTGAAGAACTGCTGCAGCTTCTCATTGGTGAAGTTGATGCACAGCTGCTCAAAGCTATTAAACTGTAGAGGGAGAAAAGGAAAAAAATAAAACTGCAGAAGGGCTCAGCAGGACCGGGAGGTCCAGAGAAGAATGGGAATGGGTATGAGTTCACCCTGCCCCCAAGCAGAAGCCCAGGCTCCTGCCCTCACCCACCCATGGCCCTCGGTGCAGGCCTGCCCTCACCTCAAAGATCTCAAAGCCAGCAATGTCCAGGACCCCGATGAAGAACTGCCGGGGCAGCTTCGTGTCCAGTGTCTGGTTGATCCGAGACACCAACCACCGGAACAGCCGGTCGTAGGTGGCCTTGGCCAGAGCCCCCACGGCAAACACCACCTGAAGTTGGGGGGATGCTGGGCTGGGACCTGGCGAGGAGGACCCTCCCAGCCGTCCCGGGTCAGCCCGGTCTGCGAGCAGCTCACCTGCTCCACGCTCTGGCCCTTGGTCACGTACTCGTTCCCCACACGCACTCGGGGGTGCAGAAGGCCTTTGAGGAGGTCCCCGCTGTTGACTCCCATCAGGTAGGCAGCCTTGTCAGCACCTGGCAGGGTACGTGGGTGGGATGAGGAGGAAGAACTAACAATTAGAGCACCAGGGGCTCAAATGGCCTCGGCCTGGCATCGGGGAGGGGAAGCTAGGAAGGGTCAAATGCAGGGTCAACAGTTTGTGCAGCTCAGGAGGGTGAGGGTCTGGCGTTGAGTCAGGGGTAATAATCAGGCCAGTTAGGACTGGGGTCAAAGACTGTGGACAAGGGTGCGGGCTAATGGTCACGAACAGGACTTTGGGATCAGGGCCAGGGCCCCTCACTCTCGGTGCCGTCGGCCTCGGCCTGCTCCTCCCGCTGCTTCTGCTTAAACTTCATGTTTCCGAAGTGCAGGAGGGCGCCCACAATCTTATAGCAGGCACACTTCTCGTCCACACTGAAGCCCAGGATGTCCATGGCGTGCTGCGGCGGGGATGGCAGGATCAGAGGAGTCTGGGCCCCTCCAGGGTCCAGCCAAGCTCAGGGCACTGCAGCTGCTCCCCAATCTCCACCCAGCGTCGCAGGGCCCCACGCTGCAGGCGCCCGCTCTGCTCCCACCCAACTTACGTCAGTGGCCATGAGCTCCTCCCCGTCATCCATGTTGTCCACGGTGATGACACCCTGGCTGCAGAAGTGGTAGTCGTAGGGGTTCACGGACAGGAGCAGCATGTCTGGGGAACACAGGCCAGGAGGGTGGGTCCAGCTGGGTTCAGCTGGCTGTCCTCCTACCCCATCCCAGCGTGGCGGATCCTGGGGGCCAGCCCTGCAGGAAAGTCTAGGGCCTTCCTAGGACTTCCCCATCTTCAGTCCATAGATTCTCTTTCCTTATGGCTTTCTGAGGCATGAGCCGGTCCCTATGTTACATTCATCCCTCCACCACTGCTCATGGCCACCTCTCTGGTCCAGACCCTGTGCTGGGGCACAGCGAGGACCAGACTCTGCCCTCAAGGGCTTGCAAGAGAGGGGAGCTGGCCTAGACAGAGCCATTGGCCCTCCCTTGGGCTGAGCAGGACTGCAGGAGGGTCCTGCTAGCCTCAGGACCGCAGGAGGGCCAGCTTTACAAAAGCAGCAGTCAGTTCCCTGCATGAGAGAGGGCTCAGCAATAACCAGAAGTCCCAGGGAGTAGGAGGGGACAGAAGGGACTCAGAAGAAAGACAGGATGTCACAGGCCCCAGAAGAGTGAGGAAACAGACATCCCAGGGCCTGGCCTGATGGGGACAGGCAGCTCTCCCTCCCTCCAAGTCCTATGTACGCCCCTCCTCCCCCCTCCATCCTGGCCCTTACCCTGCAGCTCTGGCTTCTTCCCCGAGAGGATCTGGTAGTAGACGTGGTAGCCACGCTCTCCGGGCAGCTGGAAGATCACCCGGGACTTCTCCAGGAGATCTGGGAGAAAGGGGGGTGCTGGCCACCATCTTCTGCACCTCCTCAGAGCGGGGCACCCAATAGGGCTGAAGGGGCAGGGCAGGGTTGTGGGTGAGGGGCAGGGATGTGTGTAGAGGCACTGCTTGTATACATCAGCATGTACTAAAGTGTGTCTCTTGTCCCAGTGGATTGAGCATTGGCCTGTGGATTGAAGGGTCCGGGGTTCGATTCCAGTCAAGGGCACGTGCCCAGGTTGCAGGCTTGATCCCAGTGTGGGGCGTGCAGGAGGCAGCCAATCAATAATTTTCTCTCATCCTAGATGTTCCTATCTCTCCCTCCCTCTCCCTTCTCTGAAGTCAATAAAAAGAAAACACACATAAAAAATATAAAATGTGTCTCTCTGTCTTGCATGTCACAATGTGGGAATGAGTGTGTATCCCCATGTGTACTGTGTGTGGGTATGTGAATGTGGGATCTGTGTGGGGATATTCATCTGCCCATTCTCTCATCTCTGCTTTCATTCCTTCACCCACAACCCCTCCTTCCTCCAGAGCAGTGCTGGTGTGTCAGCGTGTGTGTGGGCAGAGCTCCATGTGTCTGCACGTGGTCAGTCGAGGCATGAATTATGCTGTTCCCTGCCCATCACCATATGTCTGTGCTTATTCATCAGGATCCGAGCAGGCATCCCAAGGTGGGGAGTGGTCAGTGTGGCGGACCCTCTGTGCATGTGGCCTGGACACCTGGTGTCTATGCAGCTGGACTGGGCGAGACGGATGGAGGGGTTGCCAGGAAGAATGAGGACTCGATGTGTAGATGTGAGTCTGGGGCAGGATGGGCACAGGCTCACCCTATTAGGACCAGAGAAAGGACTGGAGTGGGGTAAGGGCCCAATCATAAAGAGCCTAATGACCAAATAAGGATTTGGGTCTCCATCTTAAGGTGATAAGATCCAGAAAAGATTTCTATGCAGGAACACAATGTGGTCAGATTAGTATCCATGAAAAGGTCATTCTGGCTGGAAGATCCAGCAGAGGAAAGGAGGCTGGAAGACCACATGGAGGCTGGTGGAATGCTCCAGGTAAGAACTGAGGGGCCTGGGCTGGGCCGTGGCTTGGGATGGAAAGTAGTACCTGAAACAGGCAGGAGCCAAGGACTTGAGGGGTGCTCCATCTGAGCAGAAAGCCCTCTGTCCCGCCCCCACCCTCCCCGCCTCGCCCAAACTCACAGCTGTCAATATCTGAAGATGCCAGCTTCCCCGAGGGACCAAAGTGAATGCGGATGAACTTGCCCTGTGGGCAGGGGTGCAGGCTCAGTCAGAGGGCCCGGCCATGCTGCCCTCTCAGCTGAAAGCTCCCACCACCCGTCTCCCTGTTGCCCCTCCCACTCCCCCCCCCCCCCTTCCCACCGCGGCCACTCACGAAGCGGGACGAGTTGTCGTTGCGCAGGGTCTTGGCATTGCCAAAAGCCTCCATAGCAGGGTTAGCCTCGATGATTTGATCCTCGAGGGTACCCTAGGGGGTGAGGTATGCTCACTGCCTGGGACCCAGAGCAGCCGCTGTCCCAGGTAACAGCCCATCCCAGACACCTCTGGCTGGGAAGGGGAAGGGCAGGTTCCCAGGACCTCATCATTGTTGCCTGCCCCACTCACTGTGGCCCCACACTTACCCCAGTCTTTGTGGCCGGAAATTGCTGGGGGAGAAAGAAGACAATGTTAGAGGGTGTGAGGTCTCACCAGGCCAGGCTGACAGTAGTTAGCAGGGCAGCGATGTTAGCTCCCCACCCCCACCCCGTCCCCGCCTCACCCTCCCAGGACTGTTGCAGGAGGACTGCTAGAAAGTAGGAGCAAGCACGGCAGGGGGCTGAGTCTGGGGGCGTCTACAGTTAGCAGCCCTTCCCCTCCCCCAGCTGTCTCTGGCCTCTTCCATGTCCCATCATTTCCCACACTCCAGCAAGTGGCCCCTGCCCCAAGCACTGGAGTCTCCTGACTAAAATCCTCTTCAGAGCAACAGCTCAAATGCCCCCTCCTCTAGGAAGGCTTCCCGATGCTTTATGGCTGGAAGAGCTCTCTGTCACCTGAACCTTCGTACCCTCACCTCCGTGAGCCCTTCTCCACGCCTCTCCTTCACATTGTTTCAGGCACATCTCCATGGCGCAGTTAACTTGTACACCGGCTATTATTTAAAATGGCCCTGCCAGTGCCTACTATTACCCTACTTTGCAAATGAGGAAACTAAGGCTCAGAGCAGGGAAGTAACATACTCAAAGCCAACGGTAAGTGGGAGAGAAGGCCCTGAGCCCAGGCTTCTGCCTCCCACAGCATCCACAGCCACCCATGTCTCACCTAGAGAGACTTACCGAACTGAGAGGATCCCCCACCACTGTCCTCTCCTGGCCTCATCCTTGTCTTCCCTCCACTTCCCTTTCCTTCTCTTCCCTGCCCTGGGTCCTGGCAGCCCGAAAGAGGCTGCTCCAAAGCTCTGGCTGAGATTATGTGCCATTTCCCTTCTGCCTCTGTCCCCCCAACAATCTCTCTGGGGAAACTGAAAGGAAGAGAAGGGAAGAATGGATTTTAAAGTGACAGTTACCATGCCACCAGGGGACTTTGGTTATTCTCTCACCTCCAGGAGCCCAACTGAAACAATCCCCCAGAGACATTGCGGGGGGGACAGAGACAGGAGGGAGCCCATCCCCTGGAGCCCTTTCTGGCCAGAGGCCTCCCGGCCCCTACCTGCTCACTCTGGCCTCTTCCCACCCACCATCCTATTAGGGACCGAGCCCCCACTTTCTGCAGCATCCTCACATGGGGTTTGGAAAATGGGGTGGGGAGAGGAAGGAGGAAAGAGTACCAAAAAGTCAACAGCAAAAACAAAACAAAACAACAAGAACAACCACCACCACAACAACAACAAAAACCAAAACTGAAATTAAAAAAATCAAGAAACTCAAATGGGGAAAAGAAAAAGGCAAAAAGAAAAAAGAAAAAGAAAACTTAAAGTGGAGAAAAGAAAAGAAAATTAGAAAAAAGAAAAATGCCCCAGAATAAAGCAAGGCTCAACAGGACCAGGAAGGGGGACTGAGTGGGAGGCGGCCTTGGGCTCTGGAAAGAAAAGGCAGAGGAACGGACCTTGTATTTCAAAAACGAAAACAAAACACTGGTCCCCCATTATATCAGAAATTTTCAAAAACCATACAGATATCAGGGGGTGCAAAACTGCCCCCCTGCCCCTGCTGTTGGGAATGCTGCCAAGTGCCTCTGGCTCTGGCTAAATGCCGCATAAGCCTGCTTGTTTGACTGACAGCAGGTAACTCTCTTTGGTGCACGGAAACCAAAAAAAAATCATTTCTTAGCAAAAACGGCCTATTTGGTAAACTCTCTCAAAATATGAAGGTCACCATGTGAGGGAAAAACTACATAAAAAGTTTGGGAATAGCGACGTGGTCCCGCCCCTCTGGGTTACAGATGGAAACACTGAGACAGGCCTGGGACTGGGTGGCAGAGCATAGCGGAGGTGGCCATAGCTTCTTTGGTCAAGCCTTGCTCAGGCCAGAGTCCCCCACTAAGGTGGAAGGCTCAGGCGGGGCTGGAGGCTCTGGGGAATCAACATAAAAAGAAAAAAAAATGGGGGGAGGGGGGAGGGGAGACAAAAAGAAAAACAGTGAGAAGCAGTGGTGAGCAGCGCCCAAGTGGGCGAGTCTTACGGCCTTCTTGCCTGGCCCGTCTCCCAGGGCAGCGACGATGGCAAAGTACTGAATGACCCGCTTGGTGTTAACCGTCTTACCGGCCCCCGACTCTCCGCTTGGATGACACAAACATACGTCACCAATGCCCACCTGGCCACTCTAATTCCTCCCACCCCTCAGTGACCCACTCACCAGGCAGGGCCCCTCTGCCCTCCCCAACCCAGCTCCAAAGTTAGGATCCCAACTCAAAAGACAAAAACAAAAGAGATCAGCCCTCAGAGACATCCAGATGTTTACAGAGCAGCAGAGCAGGCCAGTGTGGATAGATCATACCCCCCACACCCGTGAGATGAGAACACACAATGCCACCGTTTACTAAGTGCAAATTTAGTGCCAGGCACTGGGCCAAGTGCTTTCTTTACTTATATTGGCTCATTTAATCATTTAAGCCTTAGAAACAAAGATCAGAAATAAGACTCAGAGATAAGGAGAAGGTAAGGAGGAAAAAGTGTAGGCACCATCATCACCCCCAGTTTATGCATAAGGAAATGGGACTCAGAGAAGTTATGTGACTGTCCCTGCTGTAGCCAAGTATATGTACATTAAAATGCTGACTCCTTATAGCTCTGCATGGTAGGTGGGTAGGATTGTTCTGTTGTTACTGATGAGACTCAGAGGCCTAAGGACATCAGCAGGAAGAAGTGAACACAGAACGTGAACCCAGTTCTATCTGGTTTCAAAGGCCTTGCTCTAAAACCAGGCTGCATGTGCATGCACACACTCATACACCGACAATGTCCATATCGGCTTGGCAGGTAAGAATTCTATCATTTTCCCATGGAGACAAACAAAGGATCCAAAATAAGACCCAGAGATAAGGAGAATGAAGGAGGAGGAACGGAAGAGGAATGCCCCATTCTCCTTAAGCCAAACTCAGAACTCCCAAAAGATCAAGGTAGGAAAGATCCCAGGCCCTGGAAAGAGGGGCGATCAGGGCTGGTGATCATCGGGTATGTGGGTATCCCTTTCCTGATTACTATCCATAACCCAGAATGGAGGCAGAGAACATGCTCTAATTTAGCTCCAGGGGATAAATTTAGCTTAGTCTTGCCCTAAGCACTTTTAGAACCAACCCTGGGATATGATTTTAGTTCCATTCCCTTCCTGGCAGAAGGCTAGCAATTCCCACCCCATCCCCAGAGCCGCACACTTACGTGATTAGCATGGACTGGTTTTCTCGGTCTGGAGGAATGGGAAGGAGATACAGAAGTTAGCCACGAAAGACCAGCCACAGGTGGAGCACATTGGTATCCATAGCATGGGGCAGCCCCTCCACCAACCAGAGCCAGAAATGGGAAGGACCAGATAGGACCCTACAGTCCGCAGGCCAGTTCCCACTGGGGAGACAGTGGCTAGCCAGGGTGTCCGGCAGTGTCATAGGGCAATGCAAGTGGAGGGGAGGGGTCCTTTAAAGAAGTTTCCCTGTAGCTGGGGTAGGGGTCTTGGGCGGTGAGAGGAAGAGGAGTCCAGGCAGCCCTTACTTCGCAGCATATCATTGTAGGCGTTATCTGCCACCGCATATATGTGGGGCGGGGCCTCCGAGCGGCGCTTTCCCTTGTATGCGGCCACCACGGAGGGCGTGTAGACCGGGAGCCATTTGTAGGGATTGATGGTGACACAGAAGAGGCCTGAGTAAGTCTGACGAGAAAGCGTATAGGTAGGTTGTTGGAGGTCAAGTTCCCATTCCCAGGCCCCAGCCCTCACAAAACTATGACCTTTGCAATATTCCCCAAGGGTCACTTAACTATGCCACGTGATACCCTCTGTGGCTGCCTAACCCCAATCCAGCCTTAGCTCCTGCCCACAGCCATGTCCCCTTCTCCATGGCCCCACCGGGACCCTCTACCCTCGCCCCCACGCTGAAGCTCCACCACTACACTCCAAGAGCTGCAACTCCAGCCCCATCTCTATCCCTGTCTCAGACCCTAGCCCCACTTCTACATCCCCACATCACCCTGCTCCACCTCTAGCCCCGCCCCACTGCACAAGTCCCTCCCTCCCCCGTAGCCCCGCCCCCCATTATACAAGCCCCTTCCCCTCTCCATAGTCCTGTCTCCTTAGTCCAGTCCCCATGGCGTTGTGGCTCTTCCTCTGACCCCGCCCCAACCATACCCATCCCCTCCACACCCTTGGCCCCTCCCCGACTCCTGGCTCACGTAGATCATCCAGCGAGCATAGCGCTGGCGTAGGTTGTGCAGCACTGAGGCTTCGTTGAGGTGTGTCATCATGGCCATGTCCTCCAGCAAGTCAAAGCGGGGCGGGTTCATGGGCTGCAGCTCTGCTTCCCGCACCATCAGCATCTGCCAGGGAGGCCATTTAGTGGAGTGGCCGGCAGGTGGGCGGGTATTCACTGACTTCCACCTCTCACCCCTGTACCCTCCCAGACCCCCTTTCATACAGACAGCTGGCCAACAGCTGC